AGACAGACAGACAGACAGACAGACAGACAGACAGACAGACAGACAGACAGACAGACAGACAGACAGACAGACAGACAGACAGACAGACAGACAGATAGACAGACAGACAGACAGACAGACAGACAGACAGACAGAAAGACAGACAGACGGACAGAAATACGTTTTGAGGCACAAGAAGGAGGCAAGGTAAGAGCAACTCGATGAAGGAGACGAGAAACTAGAGCAGGAATAGAAAGAATGTGTTGACACAGGAATGAAACGTAAAGTTTATTCCGATGCTTTCACCTCTGCAAAGTTACAAAAGGTGTTGTCAAGATAGTAAACATGAGATTGCGATGAAAAACCAGTAAACCAGAGACTTGAGAGAACGAAAAGAGAATGAGAAAGAAACTAGACAAACCCAGTAAAAAGCAAGCCACACCACCTGCGACTCAGGAAAAAACAAATAAGAAAACAAAGAAGCAAGCAGACTGCCATCATTGAAGATGGTGAAGACCCAACGTCCAGTCAAAAAAAACAACAAGGAAAACCTTGTTGTTAACCAAAAAAGAAAAAAACAAACAAATAAAAACCAAACCATAAGAGCAAACCAAATAAAAAAAAGGAGAAAAGTTGAATAACTGCAAAGCTGACAACCATTCACTCTGACAAGAAGCAAGTTCCCAAACCTGACCCTGCCTACTCCCACTCATTGAGGTGTTCCTCCTGTGTGGTCACTGCCTCCGTATGCCTTGTGCTCCACGGTCGAGCCTCTACACGCAAACAAAACGAAGAAACGCAGAAAGCAAGTCCCCCCAAACCTGATGCACTCCTACCATGCACGAGAGATTCACATACAGATGATCAACGAGTTATTCGTCTGCAAAGCTGACAACCATTCACTCTGACAAGAAGCAAGTTCCCAAACCTGACCCTGCCTACTCCCACTCATTGAGGTGTTCCTCCTGTGTGGTCACTGCCTCCGCATGCCTTGTGCTCCACGGTCGAGCCTCTACACGCAAACAAAACGAAGAAACGCAGAAAGCAAGTCCCCCCAAACCTGATGCACTCCTACCATGCACGAGAGATTCACATACAGATGATCAACGAGTTATTCGTCTGCAAAGCTGACAACCATTCACTCTGACAAGAAGCAAGTTCCCAAACCTGACCCTGCCTACTCCCACTCATTGAGGTGTTCCTCCTGTGTGGTCACTGCCTCCGCATGCCTTGTGCTCCACGGTCGAGCCTCTACACGCAAACAAAACGAAGAAACGCAGAAAGCAAGTCCCCCCAAACCTGATGCACTCCTACCATGCACGAGAGATTCACATACAGATGATCAACGAGTTATTCGTCTGCAAAGCTGACAACCATTCACTCTGACAAGAAGCAAGTTCCCAAACCTGACCCTGCCTACTCCCACTCATTGAGGTGTTCCTCCTGTGTGGTCACTGCCTCCGCAAGCCTTGTGCTCCACGGTCGAGCCTCTACACGCAAACAAAACGAAGAAACGCAGAGAGCAGCATGACGGATGCAATTGTATGATGGAACCGAATTCTTGCGTTTGTGGGTTGCTGAATTTTTGTACAAAATACATAGTTTTTTCATGGGTGATTGCAATCGTCTTGTTATCGTGGACTTTTTTACATTTGAGGCATTTCACACGGTCATGAGTTTCTCGCTTAGTCTTCATTTCCAGGCGTCAGATTTTGCAATCGTATCATCTATTCACATCCAGATACACTATATAACCATACCTTATGCTTTTCTAAAATTATGACAGTCCTTCCTACTTCCCACTGGGAGCATGAATTTGATCTTTTGTTTTCTCTATCGAGCTTTCTTGTACGATTTAACCTTCGTCTGCATCCTAAGGCATACTTGTTCATACTTGTTTATCCCCTGTTTGTGATCGCATTCCAACGAGAGATTTTTCTTTCACGTACAAACATCACTGCTTCTGTTCACCCAAACTTTCCCCGTTTGTTTCACATCACATCAAGTCCATAAATTGTGTAACCGGTTCACACTGAGAGCTTTCTCTTCTCCTCTTCTCCGCTGTCCTTTCCCTGCCCCACCCCGACCTTTCGCCTCCCTGTCCCGTCCAGCATATCATGAACCGTGCTACATCTGCACCTCCCGCAACATGTAGAGCTCTGAGATTTTTTATAGCACTCTCCCCTACCCTACCCCTATCAAAAAGTTCAACCTACCCACTAATTTCTCGGTAGCCCTTGTCGCTACCATAATGTAGGTCTTTGTACCATGGTGAATCATGAGAGAGTAGGTAGGGGTTACTACCCCTGGAGCGCATCACCCATATTGCAGAATCACCCCACCCGTCTCTGCTCGACAAAACACAAACCGTTTCAAATTGGTCCTAGGGCGATGGACATCTCTATATGTCTGCTCCTATACTTCCTACGAAGTGGTCTACTTGAATAGTGGACCAGAATTCAAATGCTATGACCGGTCCTTAGGTTTCCTATAACCGGCCAAATGGCCGCGTTGCTATTTTTGTGATTCAATTATGAATGAGTGCGCCTCAGGGCACCTCCGGCCGGGCCCGGGCGGCCGAGCTCTGAATCGCAGTCACGGAAGCACTGCACTGAGGCAGCCGTGATCGGCCCGGCCCGGGCCCAGCCTCGGAGCCAGCGGGGGGCCGGGCCCGCGGCGAGCCTCCGCCAGCCCGGTTCAGCCCGGCCTGAGTCACCTCCGATCACTGACTCCGAGATCGAATTGCCGACCGTACCATCCGGCCCGGGGCCGGGCCGATCGCCGCCGCCGCACGGGCTCGGAGGCTGCACTGGCACTGAGTGACCCGTGACCGTGACTCCGTGAGGGCCGGGGGGGCGAGGCCCTTCAATTACCGTCTGATGTTGAAGCGGCTAGCGGGCCCGGTACCGTAACAGTGTGGCACTGGCATCCCGGATCTTGCTACGGTCCGACCGTGACAGGTTCCGAACTTCCGGCGATGTGGGGGCGGCCCCCCGGGCCCCTGGCACTGGCAGCCCGCCCGGCCGCCCGGCGCAGTCGGGGGCCGGCGCCGGACCGGACCGTTCAACCCCCGGGGCCGCGCGGGGGGCCGCCGGCGCGCGGCGCCGGGGCCCAGGAGACGCCGTCACGGAGTCCCGCCGCCCGCGCCCCCGGCCGCCGCCCGCCGAGCGGCCGATGATCCCCGGGCGGTCACCTGCCCGCCCGCCCCCGCGGTACGCAGTACCGCGTACCGTACTATAGTAACAGTGCACTTCAGGCTTGCCATGATCCCGGCCGGGCGCCGGGCTGGCACACCACGGCCAGGCTACCAGGCTTAAAAAGGTTTCACGGCTTCAAAATCGGCTGTTTATTCATTCATCAACCCTTCTTCTGAAATTGCTTCACATGTTCTGAATAACATTTCCTGCGTGTGGTCGGCCCACACAATCCATAAGGCCGTTTGTTGCGATCCTTCTCGCTGCAACATATGCAACAACATGTCGTTAGAGATCCTAAGCCATTGCTTCCCTTACATACTCTACATCTGACTCTGATGGCCCGCTTCTCATCGAAGGATTGAGAAGTTCTCAAGTTCCACTTGATGACATGGTCATTCACCAACCCCAAAGTGTGTATGCCCTTGGACGAATCACCTGAATCATCGATATCCATGATCTGTGAGACTCCCCCGTCACAAGTTGAGTTCGCCTTGCCTTGACTGTGACTGCTATCAGTCCCGCTGGTCAAGAGTTGCGTACAGAGCGCTTCAGTGTACACAATGTGTCGAACGGGACCACCGGAAGGGTTGGAGGCACAGTAAACCTTGAAAGCGTCCAGTTCCATTGTTCTGAGAACGTCGCACAACATGGCCAGCTGACAATTCTGCTTCCCAATCGAGCTCTCCTGCTCCAGCTCATCCTGATCATTGTGCTTGCTAAGGTAGATCTTGGTCGCTGCCGTGAAGTATGACGACATGACTTTCGATGCGGGTGCTTGCCACGAGTCAGCTCCTGATTTCCTTGCACTGACAGAGTCCTCGCTGCGAACTTCTGACTTGTCTGTTGTGTTCCATGTAGAAACCAGAAGTCTCTTCTCCTTGCCTGACAGTCCGCTCTCGATCCAGCCATGGCCATAGATAAGTCGCATCTTGCCTTGCAGCTCAACTTGGGCCGTTGCGGTTCTGGTAGCTCCTTGCTGTTCGCCAGAGGCCTCAGCGTCAGCCTTCAAAAACTTCTTCGGGAAGCCTGGCGGAGACTTTCTGAGCAACCCCGTGAAAAACGTTTGTCGCGAGAGCAGCGCCTTTGCAATCACGACTGATGAGAACCCCGAGCTCCCGTGTATGACATGTCCTTTGTCAAGATATTTTTTTGCAACGCTGATGAGTGTAGCAGCGCTGCTGCTGACATCCAACTCCATGCCCAGCTCCCGCCTGGGTTCCAACGCAAGTGTAATCCCAAAGGTACACTCTGCAAGCTTCGTGTATTCGATACCAGCTCTCTTACAGATACTTGCTGCCCCATTCAAAGTAGAGCGACTTCTACTTGTATACTGCAGACCAATCAGATTCAACAGACTTTCCCAGCAATAAAAGGCTGCTTACCTCATTGGAGATGCTGCGCAGATCGACGTCTTCAAACACAAACAGCTCAGTTCCAGCACGAATGCTCTGTACTCTGTTACGATTGAATGCATCTATCAACGGATACATGCATTCTGTACTCTCGTGACCGTTCTCGTACTCTGGGGAGCATAATTTGACATGCTTCACCCAGAGCTCAAAGCGATCCTGCGACACCTTGTACCTTGTACCCAGATCAGGGGCTCGAATCAGTTCTCCATTGCCGGACCCCCACAAGTGCAAGAAATTCCCTTTAGGAAAGAGAGCTTTAGTGTAGACAACACCAAGATACTGCAGGAATTCACACTCGGTGAAAGGGTCCACAGTAGCTGGTAAGCTGTCATTCGTCCATTGGAGACAGGACCCATTCTTCCTACTCTTGCCGAAGAAGAATTGCCAGGGAAACATCAGTTTCCAGCAGTCAAACTCAGTCTTCGGATCAGCAGACCGCATGGACTCCGGCCAGTTGAAGGTGGTGGTGGCAAACTCAAACCCCAGGGCCCTGCGTTGGTCGGTTTGGACCCCGTTTTCGCAAGCATCCCATTGTAGCGCTTCATCCGCAGAGTCGCACTGCAGGGCACTCACAGTTTCTGCCGGTATGGTATCGTGCTCGTCGCCTACAGAAGCGTCATCTTCAGGGTCCGCCCCCACCATCCCAGTGCTCCCATCGTCGCTACCAGCCTGCGCGTTCTGCCCTGCACTTCGATTCAGCGAGGCGGAGGACGCGTCGTAGAGTCGTTTCCTAGCTAGCACGTGTCCTTTGACACAGAGCCTGACCTTCTGACCCGAGATGTTCCAGTCCACGATGTACTTGTCGTTCTTCACCTTCCCGGTCACCATCCCTTGCACCACAACCTGGTTCCACTCGCTCCTGTGCTCACCCATCAGGATGTCCCTCACCTCCTTGAACCGTCCGAGGGTCTTGCTCTTCACTTGTATGATCTGCCCCATCTCAAGCACGGGCTGGTCGCTCCCGCCGCCGCCTCCCGCCTCCTCATGCCCCTCCACCGCCTCTGAACCCCCCATGTTCTCCGGCAGCAGTTCGGCAGCGGTAGCGTGCGGTATGAGGGCTGCGACCCGCATGTGCGATGCATCCGCCCGCTGGGAAGGGGCTGGAGCATGAGATGGAGAGCCGAGATGGTGTTTGCAATGGTCTTGAACCAGGACAGGGACAGGGACAGGGACAGGGACAGGGACAGGGACAAGAGCGAACTGGCTGCATAGTTCATATCAAGAGGATGCACAAGAAAACCAGCAAGGTCGACATCACTGACTGTGCTTCCAAGTTCGGCTCGGTGCTCTCGGTAAGGATCTGGTATGGGTTCGGAACAGCGATAGTCGAGATGGGGGCCGCGGTGGAAGCAAGGGCCATGGTCGAAGCAAACAGGCGCGATCCAGTGGTGATCCGAGGGAAGAATGTCGAGATGAACTTCGGCTTTCCTGCATCTGAGGAGCAGAAGTTCAAGGAGGATCCTCGGAATCCGGCCTATGTCGAGAAAGAGGTCAGGAGGCTCCTGCACTTCCTGGTCGATAGGGTGGAGCAGAAGGAACTGAAGCATGCTTCGCACTTGCTGCGTGAGAGGCACAACGGGCTCAAAAGGTCCATGGATGAACAGCTCTCACGTTCTGGGAAGCTCTTTTCGGACATGTGCTGGGATTGGGTAGTGTCAGGAGGATTCTGTAGTAGAGGAGAGTTTTGCAGCTTCAGACATGAAATGGTTCCTTTCTGTGAAGTCCCGTCCAGATATCGATGGCTCACACGCAAGGACACTTTCTCGAGCTCGCGGGAGTCGGCCATACACAAGACGGCTGTCAATGAAATCCTTGTCAGGCTGTCCAGAACAGTGCAAAACAAGAAGATGCTGATTCTGGATGGTGCGTCCTGCAACTCAGTGAGAGCTCTCTCTAGCTCTGATCAGAGAAGCTGCAAAGAAGAAATTTTCGTGCCCAACAACTGCACAGAAACATATTTGAAGATTTGTGGGTCCAATCTTTGTACAGTGTTTCACGGGAGTGTGAGGGCATTCGTAGACTCTGTTCCATCCCTCAGATTTGGACTTGTGTACCTGGATTATTGCTGCACCCTTGCTGCAGGCCGCAGACGTGTAGAGAAAAGCCCGATCGCAGACTTGTTCACAATGTTCAGCTACGGTCAATTCGATCCATCAGGTTGCATTCTGTGCGTTTGCTTGGCAGATCCTGAGGACCGAGACAAGAAGTCAAGTCGTTCTGCACAGAAATCAAGACATCTGACAAAGCAACAGAAAGAGCAGCAGACATCAGCGAGCTCCTCGGGGAGTTCGGATGATTCCAGCGACGACGACCGCTCATCAGATCAGGATTGGGGTCAAGCACAAGGCACCTTGCATTGGAGTGCCGAGAGGGTTGCCCTGTGGAGGGATGGCCGTGCTTGCCACGAGGCATCGGGGGAGATACGCGAGCTCAAGGTGCATGGCCTTGTGAGCAACTAGACCATGCATACCAGTGAGCGCCTTGCTTGCAGGGTCACTTGCTGCACGCTCAACATCTCAGAAGCCTCGTTACCCGGCTGGTAATGCTCCCCATTCCTCTCCTTACATACCGTCCGGCGACTAACGTTTCTCCTCTCTGATATACCACACGGCAGGCAGCTCGCCATAGGCTGACTTCACTCATCTATCCACGCTCCTTGTATGCCAACATAGAGTACAATCGATGCTGACTACAGCATGCAGGTACTGGCCAGGAAACTTTGCCGAGGTGCGTAACAGAATTTGTGCCAATACCGACCATCAAAGTCTGACTAGTGTGTTAGATTTTCTACGTTGGATCACCGGAACAATGTGCAAAATACCTATCAGAAGCTACTTGTCCTTTCAACCCGTGAAAGAAATGTAATGGGGAATCTCAACATTTATTCATTTTTGTGTAAGACTAGAATATCGCAAACATTTCTGTCAAGAATCCAGAATTCATTGCAACACCAGACTGGACTCTAAACTCAACGATGATCTTGGTTGAGAGCTCCTCCGCACTCTGTGGCGATCAAAACTTCGAGAAACATGCAAGGATCTGTCACTCAGTCACCTCACTTGCTCTCCAAGAAGAACAAACATCTCAAGCAAGAGGGCACAATCCAGGAATCAATCCTGCCTGTTTCACATCAGCCTTTCAACCATGTCGTCACGGTCGTAGTAGAATTTGTCCACCAGCTCAATGGGCTTTTCTCCAAAATTGACAGATTCTGAACTGGTTGCCACCTGCTGTCCACCCTGATGGTGTCCTGTCCAAACATGGATTTTCCTAGAGCAGAGAGAATCGACCTTCCCAACACGATCTGAAACATGATCATGACTTGATGAATGATGATGATGATGATGATGATGATGATGATGCTCAGTTGGCTGGTGTTCTTGATTGTGATGGCCATGCTGATGGCCATGACCACTCTTGTGATCGCGCTCATGAAGAGGAAGCGAATCTTTGGTTTTGTGGTGCTCCGATTGGAGCTCCGTGGCAAGATAATCCAGGTCGCGGTGGACCATTTTAGTGTATTCATGAGCTGCCTTCACCACCACTGCCTCGGGGTGATACGAATGCCCATGGCGTGGGGCTTGGGACTTACGGAGAAGATCTGAACCTAGTTGGGAGGCCTCGTCGATGTGCCGTCCTAGGGTCTCTCCGTCAGACCGGTGCATCAACTCGTCCAGCTTGGGGTTAACCTCAAGATGCCCATGATTCATGATGCAACCTCTGATCGAACTGAACTGTTAACTCAGTCAACGGTACGGCTGTAGGGTGAATGATGCAGGACTGAACTGTGCGCTTCACTGTGACAGATACGGAGTACCGTTTGCAGAGCAGGGCCGGATGGGGAGCCTCTAGGATCGTACCGTACGAGACCGAGCAAATGCGCGGAGCCTAGAGGGATGAAGACGGGAGGGAGCAAGGGGTCAGGTTTGACCGCCGGCGGGAGGGAGGAAGAACTGACGGGGGCGTATTTGTGCTTCAAACCTATTGTGGTACGATTTTCAGGGATGAGTACTCTTGCAGACAGTACTGGTGAAATGAGTGTCGTACTTTTGATTTTTAAAAAATAGATAGAAATCAAGTTGTGATTGACTATTTTTAGAGACAAATTGTTGATAGTATAGAATTGTGTACAAACTCTCTAGAAGAGGAAAGTTTATACAGGCCTAATTTGTACTGTTCACTACAATTATTAAAAAACTTGTACATGTTTCGTTACAATTATTAAAAAACTTGTACATGTTTCGAGGAATCACTGTGCGGACTACCCCAACTCGGCAACTCTATTTTTTTAACCACTACCCCTTGTTTTCAATCTTTGCACCCACCCTTTCAAGTATCCACCCTACCCGGTTCAAGATGACCCTGGTTGAAACTTAGCTCAATGTATCTGAAATCGAGCCCGCCTCGATTGTGTCTCCTTGCCAGGTTGTGAGGGGTTCTCCGAGTTGGGGCCGCCTCCCTAAAATGCTCAAGGAGGGGTTAAATAGACTAGGAGGGGGGGTGGGAGCGGGGTGAAGTAGCTGAGGGAGGGGGTGGAGGAGTAGGGTGGGGGTGTTGAATGTTTTTCAATTTTATTCTAGTGCCTTCCAACACATTTTTTAATTGGCTCGTGGCTTTACTACCCCCCTTTCCTCCTTCCACACTCAGTGCGCAGATACCGATCAGACTACCCCTTCTTTTCCTTGTGTCTACCCCACCCTTATAGTTCAAAGTAGTCTCCTCCCTTGCGTCGACCCCACCCATCCTTCGTGGTCCCAACAACGCCCCTTTCCTTGACCACCTCCCCCCAGAGTACCCTGATAAGAAGTGGGAAAATAAGGGGTGAGCAAAGGCGAAAATGCACTTTGGTGTTCCATTACGTCCCTCCAGCTGTATGCAACTCCCTGAAAATACATCTTTTCGTTATGAGTTCCTCAAAAAAAATCTTTTTGATTTTTACTCAATGGGCTTCTTAATCGAAAACACATTTTTTCGATTTCCCGCCTTGTCTCCTTCCCCTCCCTCTGTATCCCTTGTACTTTGCACGTAGTGCAGACCCCCTGCCCTGCTCGTGCCCTTCCCGCCCCCGAACAGTATCTTTCTGCTTCGTTTACTCCTTCTTGAGACCTCCTTAGGAGGAAGAACCAAAACCAGACCCCATCCACCACCACAAGGACTGTCTACTCCACCTGAATCGTTCCTTCGTGCTTGCGCATCACGAACACGATGAGAATACATCAGCGTTTCGTACTGATAGCTCTTCTTTTAGCGAAGAAGGGGGTGGATGCCGGAAATAGCTCTCAAACATCCTCGAAGTGTGGAGATGGCGTTGTACAGGAATTCGAGCAATGTGATGACAAGAATACTGTAAATGGGGATGGGTGCTCGTCTCTCTGCACAATTGAGACGGGCTGGAAGTGCCAGGCCCAGGGTACAGGTACCCAAAGCATCTGCTGCGGACCCTGCAGTGATGGGTATTTCCGTGCAAACTGCTCTTTTCTGGACAAGACATCAGGGAACAGTGTTGGAACATGTTCTGCATGCCCAGCAGGACAGTATCTTCCCAAAGGTGCGGCATACACAGCGACTTGCATGCAATGTAGAAACGGCTCTTGGTCAGCAGAGGGAGCAACTGCATGCAATGACTTTGAGCCATGCGGCACTAACATGTATAGAATGGATTACAGCAGCTCTTCTCCGGGGCGATGCGTGGCTTGTCCAAGCGGTACCACAAAGCCCGGGGGAGGGGCATGGAACACTGAATGCATCGAGGCAGCAGACGAGAAGCATCCTCCGAGTCCTCAAGCACCTGTCAAGCAGTGTGATCAAGGTTGCTTCTCCGTCACCATCACGGTCTTGCTGGATACCAGTCTTGAGAGCTTCAGTCCACTGCAACAAAAAATCAGACAGGTTTTTGTAGACCTCATTTCAAAGTGTGGTGTCATTGGGGACAGCTTGGCGACGGAATCAATTAAATCCGAGCAAGAGACACAACACACGAGCCTTGTGTACAAGACCAAGACAGATCAACCCAAGGATTTGATTGCAGGGCTGAATATCGAATTTGTGAACCGACTCCTTTCAGAAAGGGGTTTGCCGAAAGTCATCAAGATCAACTTCCAAGTCGAACAGTCAACCGCCTCTGACAATTCAGTGTCTGAAAAGACGACACTGATCATCGTCTCTGTTGCTGTCGTCTTGCTATGCATTATAGCTTTCATTCTGATGACAATGACGAACAGGAAAAACGAGCCAGTACAGCCAATGAACAATTTGGGTGACATTGAGAAGAGGGTGGAATACGATTCAATCAACCTTCCTCCGTTGAGCAGCACTCGATATTTGTCATTCTCTATTGAACGCGAAGACAAACTGGGTCCGGACCAAATGAAAAAAGCAGCGAGATTTCAGATTTATGTCAGAACTGAACAAACTCCAGAAAGCGAATTTATTCATCCGACTCATATGCAAGATATTCATTCTTCCTCTCTCCTTACAGCCCAAACCTGTCAGCCTGTCTCTGTAGTTATGTCTAGAGTTTGACTCTGTGATGAAAGCTGTAAAGTCAAGTTGTAATGTTACACATGTGTATTAAGTTAGTGATAAACAATCAAAGGTTACCGACTCTCGCTGGCTCTCAGTTGTCAGTCTACGGCCCGGCCCTGTGATAGCGTGTGACAGTTTCAGGGTCACTGGCAAACCAGGCTCGCCGCTGCCGTAATTCTCCTGATTGTCCTCGTTATTATCAGAGCTCTGTGAAGGTGCTAGCTCAAGCCTCTGCAGGAAGGATCCTTAGTGAGCAAGAGTGGGCAGCAAGAGAAGCTATGGTCTTCTCTTAGTCTTCTCTTACAGTCACGAAGGCAGTAAGGGCTCTAACGGCTACTGGATCGCTGGAGTAAAACCTCTGTTGGGCGACAGAGCGTGCAAAGAACGAGTGGTCTACCCTCCACTTGTACGATTGGCTGAACCTCGAGAAGGAGCAAGCAACAGATCTAAGTGGACGCACGAGGGATGCTCGCTCGTGCGTGAGGAGCCTCACCACCCCTGGTGGTTCCCCTCGACTATAAAAGGATCGTCCTCGGCCATCACTGTACGGTCCTACCGGCTTCCGCCGCGGCCGGCGTAACTTAGTCCTGAAGTGAACGGTTCGGCGATCTTGGGAGACAGGAACTGCAGTCCCCAACCTCAAGTTGTAATCGTGCAGAAACTTTACAAACCTTGTTTGAATCAAATAAAACTTTCTCCTGCCCCTACATCTTGCTCAATCGAAAAACAACGCCAACATTGTTTTGCAATGCGTGACAGAGAACTGCAGCGCCTTCACGGACAGTTTTGTGTAATGTTTGCTTGAATATGGACCTGAAATAGAGTGTTGCATGGGCTGTCATGTTCTGAGTGTTTATTCACGATATCACGTCTTTGATAGTTGCTGATCAAGGAAATTGAACAGGCTGCTGCCCTCGACTCGCCGTAGTAGTCTACCTACGGACCTGCCCTCCTACCAATGCCATTCTTCTGGTCTTTTTGAGCCTTTCGAGTCTTGATAATTATTCTTGTTGTTTCGCTCTGTTTGATTGACCTGGTCCGCGGTTGTCCAAACCTGGGTGCCAACGCAGAGAGGAAGAGTGGAATGCTGATGCAGGTCATTGTTTTTGGGAGAGCCTGAGGACGCGGAAGCCTGCGGATGACGACGCTCAGTCTTGCCAGTCTCATTGCTGAACCTGCGAGTCCTGAGTGTCGATGTGAATTCATGCGCCTTTTGTAAGATCTCTCTCTCCGGGTGATAGTTGGATTCCTTGAGCTGGAAGTTTTCGAGGCCGAGCACGCATGAAGTCAAACTGGCCGCGACCTGAAACTCCTGGGAAGCTTCCTTCTCCTTAGCAGCAAGAAGGGCCTTGGTGATGTGGGGAGGGACGTGAAGGTCCTTCGAGTGCATTGCTCCTTGCGTGGTAGAGGACCGAGGACTTGAGGGGAACAGCTTGGCCTTGATTCGATGCTACAAGTGTTTGATGCTTCACTACCGGTACTTTCAAAGAACTTTTTCTAGGAAGACGGGGTAGGGTCTGGAACAAGTTTTGTTTTTTTTTCTCGGGAAACTCCGACCTGGGTGATTCCGAAGCTCAGTGTCGCGCCGCCGCAGCCGGCCTCGGCCGGCAGCCTGGCCGGGCCAAGCCGGCCTATCAAAATTCAGAGTCAATGATTCAACTTTACCTTTTCAGTTTTGAAGATTGTGGTGAAATTTGAAACTGGGTGTTAAACTGGGGGTTGAAAACCACAGCACGAGCGCGGCTTGTGACTGATCAGATACGATCGAGGACAATCATACCGTATGGTGTGGAGGAGAAAAGGGTGGGCAGAGTTGAAGTCTCGATGTGGATAGGGAAGAAGCAATCTCCTACCTCGGACTGACCTGATCCAGAATGGTAGACGGTCACTACTCCCGGCAACGCTTCCATTTTACAAGGTGTGAAATTGCGATGCGTGCTGTTTTAGAGCGTTCTTAACTTCGATGTCCGATGATGTGTCAAACTATGCTCACCTTAGGAACTGAATTATCTTGAGGATTCTATACTCTAGTTTGTGAGGACATTGATCTGTTGTGCTGCATGTGCGGTGAATCTAATTGATTCCCGAGTTAACATGCCTGATTTGCAGGATGGTCGAACATGAGGAGATATCCCGGCGTCAAGTGGAGCAGAAGTTGTCGTTTTTTTTATGACATGCTTTTTCAAACCGCCTGTGTATTCTAGTGTATGAGAAAAACATGTGTAATATTTGTACATTTCAGCCGGAAAATATGTACAGTAAACATTTTCTTGCCCACTTTTGTTTGATATTTGCTGTGAATGAGAGCCTTACATTCAGTCATGTGACATTGCACCATGACGAGCTCCATTCTGATGATCGGACAAGAACTTCACAAAACCTGGATATCCCATGCAGGCAACACTCAACCATGATTTCTGTGGGCTGCGTCATGACACGAAATACACCAGACCAAATCACATCACCTGAGCTTGGTCGGCTTCTTGACAAACAATGAGCCTTTCTCTCTCAAATTCTGACAATTTCAGCTCCTCAATGACAGAGTAAATCTTGTCTGCATGCTTGCTGTGCTCTACACAGATCGATGTGAACTTTGCGCCGGAAGTAGTCTTGATCAATGTGCACTCGACCGAAACTCCTTTGTACTTCTCATCAGGCTCTCTCGTACCCGAATGATAGACTGCAATGTGTGTCACAGTCAAGACAGTGCTGGTCTGCTGATCCGCGGCTCGTACCTCTGTAGATTATTCTCGATTTGTCGAGCTTGACTTCGGATACGCTGTTTATTTCTCGGCCATCCGACTTGAGCAGGGCCTTCACATCATTCGCAAGAGTGGGGTATACCCCTTTGCTGTTTGCTTGACGGGGAATAAGTTCCTGCAAAAATGGAGAGCTGAGTCTGACAACCTTGTTGCAACAAAAAAGAAATAGCTACCTTTTGCCATTGCTCTGCACCTCGTTTTTTTCTTTCAAGGCGAGTTTTAACTTCCAGCAATTCCGATTGTTCATCACCACGAACCTTATACCCAACACTTTCTTCGATGCAGGCGTAAACATCATACCTTTCCTCTGCTTCGCTTTCAGGATAGCGATTCAATAGATTTGGCATTGTTGAATTGATATGATTCTGAAAGTTTCCACGCAAGTCCCCGTGGAAGAATGCTCTCCATTCCCATCCCATGCCTGCGAAGATCTTCAGAGGAGAGACGGCGATACATCTCGAGCAGATAATCATAAACAGCAAGCATCGAAGCATGGGGTTGCTCATGGTCAAGCTCATGGTAGGATAGATCACCCACCCACTTGACCGACAATCTCGGGAAAGAAGGTGGGTCCTTGGTCAGTTCGTTGCTCCTGGTCCTCGAAAAGAATTCTTTTCGGTGACCAAAGAAAAACGTTACAAGACGTTACTAATTACACAAATTCTTTAGTCAAATCTGATCCTCAATTGATTGTACCCCTCATCCCCCTCATACAGGAGCAGCCGTAAAAGGCAAAACAACCAATGAAACAAAAGCAGGAGAAAGGGGGTCGGGGTGCGTGTTGAGCTGTAGGGGGGAGGGAGCAGTGGCAGAGGAAGAAGAAGAAGTTGGAGAAGCAGAAGCAGAAGGAGCGGGAGCAAGACAAGGGTAGGAGGAACAAGGTTGGACGTCCGCGGCAACTGGGAACAGACTGGGACTGGGATGCGCCCATCGATCTCATTTTCCATCTTCCTACTCCAGTGCGCTACGAGCTTTAGGATAACGCATGACCTCCAGCTTTATCGTGCCTCTAACAGCTTGTGCTGCCCTTTGGTTCGAAGGCTCCGCGGCGTGAGGGAGCAGGAAGCAGCCCTTCACTTGCGCCCCGGAGAATGCAACATCGTCCGCATTTCCATGTCGCAGAACGTTAATCAGAAGAACAACCTCAAACGACAGCAGGGTAGAACTCCCAGGACGGCGCCAATACAGCTTCCTCTCCTGAAAGACTTCCGCGATCTTTGCGGCATGGTTGAAACCATACACCCCCTCCTGGCCGCCGGTAGAGGCAGCAATGCTCGTATGAAAGTTGCAGATGCTGCTCGCGTGCTCTCAAAATTGAATAGCTTTGACGGGACTAGGGCAGGACGAACCCTCCCGTCCTCTCATGCTGTCAAGATGCAGGACATCGAAGAGATTTGTGTTGGATGCCTACAAACGAACTGTCGAGCCCTACGGTTAAAGCAGATCGCTATGGCGTTCAACGCTCTACGAAAGAGTTGGAGCAAATACACCTCGTTCTTTGAGGCAAGCTGCCTGCGGATACAGGAAATAGTCGCCGACGCCGACAGGTCGAACAACTACACGGAGTGCGACGGACAGACTGTGTCGACCCTCGTGAACGCGCTCTCCCAGCCGACCTCTTTACAGCTGAAAGGGGCGAATGAGACGATCAAGTGCCTTCTTGACACCCTGGACAAGATCAACATCTCCTCTTTCAGCTCCCAGGTAAGCTCCCGCTCCTCTTCTCGCCTCTTGACCGACCGGGTCCCCTCAGGGCATCGCGATGATTGTGGGAGGATGCAACAGGGCAAGACAGAACCATCCTGTCCTTACATTCTTGGCTCTTGAGATGCTGAGGAGGCCGACTCAAACCATCGACCTGCAAGCAGCAGCGCTGATCGCGCACGGGCTGAAGCGACTCGGGCGACTGGACGTACAGGTGCTGGGACACTTCTCCTCAGTCTTCTTGCGCCATTCCTCGCGAAGCTACCAGGGGCAGACGATGGCCATGGCAGCAGAAGCCTTCTCGGGCTCCAATGTGCGTCTGCAAGAGGTACTGGGGCACTTCACGAAGATGGTGGATGAGGAGGTGAAGTTGGACTCTAGATCTGTTGTTGACCTGGGTAAGCACAGAGTTACATGTTTGTTGTCTTGTTCTGACTTCTTTGGTCTTGAACAGCAAGGATCGTTTCTTCATGGGATGTGAACTGTGAGAACTTTCTCAATGTCTTGATGGCAAGAAGCTTGCGGATGGAGGAGAGAAAAGAAATCCTCAGCAGGCTTTCTTCAGCTCCGGAGGACCCGAACAATGACTCGCCTGCAAGAGCCCGCAGCTCACGAGCGAGCTTGTTATCTTCCTCCATCATGAGAGCAACGGTCAGCGTGCTGCTCGCGACTCTTCACCCTCACACTCGCAACCAGGCACACGCGCTGATCGACCTGAGCTTGGAGGCATCGGCGGCAAGCAGGGAGATCCTAGGGGACGTGGAAGTCCTCCTCCTCCTCCTCCGGTGGTTTGGGAGAGAGAAAGTAGACCAGACTATTCTGCTCGCCCTGTAACCTGCATCATCCCCATCCGACGTCTCCTGACGATGACGTGGCAGGAGACTTTGTGTGGAAGCTGCTGTGGGGTCCTTGAAGGAAGCGCAAAGGAAGAGGAGCACAACTATGTCAAAATCAGCCATTTCCGCCTTTGACCTCTCTGTTCTCGCACATGCTGTTGCAGACTCTCTCGTGGCGGGAGCGGTTGATAATGATGCTCGTAAAGGAGAGCACATGCAGACAGACTCGTCAAGTTTGTTCCAGCTAAATCAAGCTTGGGAGGTCGTTACAACGGAAATCGAGTTCTGCGTCAGACACCAGCTTTTGAGCGCCTCAGCTTGTAGTGTTTCATGCTCAATCCTTGATGAGGAAGTGACCGTTGTCTCAGATGCCTCCTGTTTGAATGCTGTTTGCAAGATGCCATCCAACGAAAGGATTCTCAACATCTTGTTCGATTCCGTCCAATGTGACGATTGGGATTTTCCTTCGCAAGCAATAACTCTCAAGGTAACATTCTTCTTTTCACTCATAAATGTAAAGTTTACGTCTTTACTGTCTAGATGCTAACGTCTTTCAAGACAAGTGAGTTGTGTCAGAAACCATTCCATGACTTTGTTGTTGTAACGACGATGATATCCTCAGGTTGTAGAAATCAACAACTGAAGAGCAGACTGGAGGTTGCGATCTTAAAAGTCATGTCGGTAGCCGTGCAATCCCTCAACGAGAACTCCTCGGTTGAACCTGTGCTTGTTCAAGCTTTTTGAACTCATCATCCTGACAGATCAAACATGCTGTTATGGTTCTGACCTCCTTGGAGCACGCCTGCTCTGACCACACCTCTACCCAACTCATCGCCGTCCTCCGCTTTCTCGGCTCCATGAAGTCACGCTACTTTGATGCTCAGGTGCAAGAGGATTACAGTCGGAATGAACACTGACCACCTCCTCTGCAGGGGATAGCCAACATCTTCAACTTCATTGTCAACCTCGACAAGAGCAGCAGGAAGTTGTCGGCCGGGCAGCAGCGAGAAATCGAAGAGGTTGAGGAGCAAGTCAAGCAGGCACTGATCGAGGCGACCTACTCCCTCTACTCCGAGGAGGATAGCAAGGCCTCCCCTCCCTCCTCCTTCAGCGCTCAGGAGCTCGCGCTGGTTATCAACGCCCTCGCTCGGCTCGGCAGGAAGGACGACGTGCTACTACGTATGCTCCTCTCTCATGCATGGGTGAGAAGCAGGGAGGAGGAAGCGAGAGGAAGCGTGCTGATGTAGCTCACAGACCATCTCGACCCGAGAGCCGGACTCTCTCGACGCGCAGGCGATCGCCATGATCTGCAATGGGATGACCAGGCTCAAGGTGCAGGTGACGAGCTGCATCCTGCTCATAGGTCGGGGCTGACACGCTGCTCTAGGATCTCAACCTCCTCCGAAGTTTCTCTAAGATCATCCGCCGCAGACCCCCCCAGCAGTTTTCCCACCAGCAGGCCTCGATGGTGCTCAACTCTTACGCCAACTCGCGCCTGCGCGATCAGGCTGTATTCCAACACTTGATCAAACTCGTGGGGGGTGGGCTAGGAGGGTCCACGATGACAGCAGAGAGGAGAAGGGATAGGGACAAGGACAGGGTCTCTCCATCCGCTCAATCCATCTCCATGACGATGCATGCCATGGCAGTACTGGACATCCAAGGGCCCGAGGGAGTCGTCGAGTGTCTTGTTGACGAGCTGGTCTCCCTCGACGTTGCTTCCTCCTCTGGCCAGGCAGTTGCCAACATCGCGTGGTCGGTCGCAGCGCTACAAGTCAGCGGGAGGGTCCACGACTGGCTGCTAGATGCGATCAAGTTTCACATCGCCAACATGGACCGCGCTTGCCTCTTTCAGGTCCACCAGTACCTCCTCGACTGCGCTCTGCGGGACATCAAGGGCAGCTACAAGGAGGGGCAGCAGAAGCTCCAAATGGCCTCGAAGAGCATCCCCTCCCACCTCCTCCTCGACTCGTCCACGTCCATGAAGGCCGTGGCAGCTGGGGTCGGCAGGGGCCTGGCTGGAGGAGCTGGCCTGACGGTCTCTCGGCTCCAGAGCGACGTCATCAGAACTTTGCGGGGGATGGGGGTCGAGGTGGAGGAGGAATGGATGGAACCTCGCTCCCGCTACGTCGTCGACGCCTGGCTGCCAACCTTCGGCATCGCCCTTGAAGTCGACGGTCCCTACCACTACGCATATTCTGCTGGATCCGCGCAGGAAACACGCCCTGGTGAGTTCATGATTCCCAGCTCACCCCAGCAGTCATCAGTCTTCTCTTTTGACTTTCTCTGTGATCACAGGCTCGGCCACGGTGAGGCCGGACGGCAACGGTCGACACCCTCTGGGCTCGACCAAGCTCAAGCATCGGCACCTTGCGGAGCTGATGATCCCCGTGCTCGTGGTCCCCTACTGGGAGTGGCCCGAGGACTCTCAAGCGAGCAAGCAGACGTACTTGAGCAACCTGCTCTTCTCCCACGTTGGTTCAGTGACCGTCACGGGCTAGCCTAGTAGCCGGCCCACAGACTTGACTGAATTTCATGGTACAGTTCCAACGGTCACAGCCGTACGAGGGACCATCATCGAGGGAAATTGAATGAAATCGAAATTAATTTGAAGCAGCAGCTGTATATTTGAAATTTACCCCTCACTTGGAACGTAGCGGTCTAACATAACTCGCGATAAAGCCTTTTATCCCTTACCACCAGCTGACTCACACCCCCACCCCCATTGAAACCATTTCTACACTATCAAAGTACCCCTTCTAGCAGACGAAGGGACAACCCCAACCCCCTCTAAAATTGACCCCGACAGTTCCAGCTCAACCCACCGATGAACCCCTTCAGTCCTCGTGTTTCAAAATGCGGCGCGGCCAACCCCTCCTCCTCCTCCTCCTCCTCCAGCTCCTCCTCCTCCTCCTCCTCCTTCCTGCTGCACTTTCAGCCAAGTACGGCGAGATCTGTTATTCTCCAGAGGACTGTAATACCAAAGAGGCTCCAATCTGTCAGTTTGTCTTCGCGGACAAAACGTACATGTACAACAAGGCTAATTCACAATGGAACAAGCCAGCTGAAGACACAAAGCCTCGCCTCGTCGGCTTGTGTGTTGAGTGCATCAGTGACTGTGATTGTGCTCTTGACAAGTATTGTGGAGTGGACGAGAATCACCCAGTTGTAATGCCATCGAACTTGACGTCTCAGAATACAGGCTCGGGGCTGACAAACAAGATAAAGTTGCTGCTGGAGGCGTATGTACGACATTTCTCGAAGCTTCCCTTGCGCTCTAAGTGCAAGAAGTACGAGCTTCCTACCACGTGCTCCTCAAACAAGCCCCCCGGCGCATACGCAGAGTCAGTCTTGACGCATGTGCTGATTGAAGACGAAAGACAGTCGACCTCAAACATCGAGTACTCAACTTTTTTCCAGACGCGAGTACCCTGGGGGACGCCCAAACGAGCTGAGAGTAAGCGAGGAGGTGACATGTCTTGAAGATCCTCACGTGCCATCAGAGAGTTTCTGCGGCAAAGTCAACTCCTGGGCCCCTGCCTTCTTCCCGGTCATCGACTTGAACCCGGCCGGTTCAAAACCCATGCAGTTGGCAATCAAGTGGAATCATCAGTCCGACACCGTCTCGACAAAGGGATACTACAACACCCCCGCCACATGCACTCCGGTAATGCCAAGCAGCTCCTTGTGACTCCCGACTTGCTGTCTCCCTCTCCTCGTGCTGACGATAAGGCAGTTTGTAATCTTGCTAGACCCAAAGAAAACAGTGTGTACTTCTTGTGAGTATAAACAAGACTGTCTTGAGAGAACGGACGACTTCTGCTGCGCCAGCGCTTCTTCTTACAGTCCCACCACGAGAACATGCTACATGTACAGAGATTGCGAGGACGCATGTCAACCTCATCAACCATCAGTCAGCGGATGGATCTACAGCTACATGTGCGAGGTAACTTAATAAGGCCGGAATGATGAATGATTCAATGATCGCATCTGCAGTCCATGTCCATGACAGCAGAACAATCAATTTTTTGCGCGTGCTACCAGACATGCTTGACCTGCGTCACAAACCATGGAGGTCAGTCTCTTGGAACTTGATGCATAGTGAGAGTTGAAGTTACAGGATGTGCTGCGAGCAATGGAATATGCGCTCCTTGTCCGCAATATGGAGGGAATCCTACGGGTTCAAGCGCCACCTGTCGGTCGATGTCAGTGACGTCATCGACGACCTATTACAGCTATCAGTCACAAAGGTATGACTCTCTCCTCGGAGTCTACCCGTACATGCAAGGCAACCCCTGGACTTTCAGTCCATCAGATACATGCAGGTTGTTGCCTGTCTGACCCCCAGCTCACTCACAGCTGAACATTTAGTCCTACGTGCGTCAAGTGCCTGGTGGACGCGGCTCGCAACTCCTGCACCACAGACGGCCCCTGCCCGGACTCCCTCTACGAGATTCACGTGAGCCGAAAGTTCAGTTCGACCTGTGCTGATTCACTCCTTTCCTTTGACAGATCTCCGGCGAGTGCTCGCAAGGGGATTTTCACTTTGACAACGGATACTTCATGTTCTCCTTTGAGTCGCCAGCCATCGACTTCGAAGGCGACTGTAGGAACGGAGAGTGTCGCATCTGCAGGCAAGTGCTTCCGTGCACGTCCTGTCCGTGATGTTAGTGCGCAGTGACGGCAGCACCGTTCGATGTCAACAGTCAGACTACCAGCCTATCTGCCTCAACGGCAAGTGGGTTCTGTGGGGAGAGCAGCTGTCAACCTTCATCAGTCGCGGCTCAACAGCCATCCTGCTGCTGATTGTACGGCCCTTACATGGGATCTCTCCCCACTGACCTGCGGGATCTCTCCCCACTGACCAGCTCCCGCAGGTGTCTTCCGCTGTCATCATCGTCCTCGCACTTGGCGCAGCTCTCGGCCTCTTGTTGTCTAAGATCAGATGGTCCTGCAAGCCAGCAGCCCTCTGGCCCAAGTGGAAACTCCCAGCATGGAGGCCCTTCCGCACGTGGAAAGTAGCTGGCAAGCCGGAGGAGGTTAACGCCTCCCAGCGGCAGGGTGCTGCAGCCTCCCGCGACAAGGTGGAGCACTGGGGATGGAGAGCAGTGATTCCGGGGCAGGTGGGGCCGGCAGCGCGGGGATCGAGACTCAACATAGCCGACGAACACAGCAGCTCGGTTGACCCGACAAGCCGGAGGGAGAGGACGGAAAATGGACGAGCTGAAAGGGGGAGGATGTGGAGGGAGGAAGAGAAGGAGACGAGGAGGAGGGAGGGGGAGGATGATGGAGACAAGAGACGCCGTTCTAGTCGGGAGCCAAGGTCGAGCTCCACCGCTCAGAGCCTCGAAAGGACCCAGTCAATTAGAGACGAGAAGGAACAGGACCACAAGAGGAGGCAACATGCCCATGGCGATGAGCGCGCAGCAAGCCCGCGGCCTGAGTATCCTGGCAGGAGGACGAGCAGTCATGAGGTCGAGCAGACCAACTCTGATCGCCGGGCGAGTCGCAAGGAGCGAAGTCAAGACTCCGAGTCCCAGGTCGATCGCCGCGGACCCGTCCAGAGCCGCCGAGAGGGGGCGCCCAAGAGCTCCCGGCACAGCCGGCGGCACGCGAGCTCCACGTCGAGCGAGACCGACACGTCGGTGGAGCACGTGCAGCTTCCTGACAGCCCAGCACCTGCCCAGCTGCTTCAGCGATCAGACCCGCGACCAAGAGACCGAGACAGCCAGCGAGGGGCGCGACACTAAACCTGGGATGCACCGCGACTCTCGGCGGGTCCTAGGTAGCAGCGTACTGCTTTACAGTTCAACGGTTCGCCTGATGGAGGTCCTCGACTCTCCAGGATCTTTCGTCAGCTCAAGGTTCCGGTATGCGTTTGGGGACAGCAGTTGGCAGGATTAGGTTGGTTCTCGCTGTCTTTTCTCTTCTCGCCGTTTGGCCTGTGCGACAGTGTCAGGGTCAAGCCTCCTCGACTCTCCTTATTGTCCTCGTACTGATTTTAACTTAACTTTGAGTAAAGACTGCCTGGATTAAAGTCATTCAGTGGTGTCCGGATACAGTCATGGGGGTTTGCTGACAGTCGTACGCCTGCGCGGCCGCCATGGCGACACAACAGCCCCCAGCGACAGGACCCTCCGTCCTCATCCAAGCTCGCCCCCGCAACTCCCATCACCGCGATTACATCCACCTCGACCGTCATGCCGTCACCTCCCTCTTTCATCTCCGTCAGGTCGAAGCCGCTCGCGTCCTGGTAAGCTGTCGCTCGCTGAGGAAGAGGAGGGGAGGAGAGGAGCAGGGCAGAGGAGAGGAGAGGAGAGGAGCGAGCTAACGAGGATGGCAGGGGATCTCGCTGACGTCTCTGAAGAGCGCATGCCGGAGGCTGGGGGTAGAGCGATGGCCCTACCAGCGGGAAGCAGCACAGCAAGCAGACGAAAACGATCTGGGCGATGCCAGGGAGGAGGGAGGGAGGATCGCGGTTGGGGCAGGAGAACGACTGGGGCAGCACTCACAGCTAGGAGAGGAGGGTGCGAGGGCTAGAGTCAATGAGACTAGAGGAGGATGGCTGGAGTGGTACATGTCGTTTCCGCTGGAACAGGCAGAAGAGGAACCAAGTCACGGTCACGGTCAGCAAATCTGGTGGGGTACAAACATAAGCGGGCAAGGTAGTCCGAAAGTAGAAGAAGAGGAAGAGGATTGAAGACTCTTGCGTTAAGATATGAAAGAGCACGGTCGACATTCTATCAGAGATCTTCGAAGATCAACCCTCCGCAGAAGGAAGTCTTGCTGGGTGCGAGTGAACAGCAAGTGAGGGTATGGTCTTCACTTGCAACTACAAACGAGTGTAAGGTTGGTATCTCCTGTACCGGTACGATTGGCAGAACCTCACGAAGAGTCTGATAACCCCTGGTTGTTTCCCTAGACTAGATGAGGATTGTGGACAACTTCTCGAGGTGCTTGACCTGCTGTCCTTGCTGTGTGTGTTTGCTACGAACCTTTATTGTGTTTGTGTTGCAGCTCAAATAAACTTGATATCTCTACTTTTCAGCTTTGTGTGTGATCCAGAAAAGTTGCTGTTAGAATTTGCTGTTGACGTCTACAGTCCTCATGTGACTTCAATCTTGTCTCAGTTATCATGTCAACTATGCAATGATGTGTTGATGTAATCATTTTAGGATATCACACAATCATACTTGCATTTGGTCATTACGACCCCAGCTGGGCCTAACTTTCATCTGTTGTCCTCAAACCCCTTCCCGTTTCAGGTAGAGGCATCATCGTCTAGAGGGAACGACATGTACCACTCCAGCCATCCTGCCTCCATCACGCTCTCACGCTGTTCCTCCTTCGTGATGCCTGGCCCTGCTAATGGTGTTTGTTTGGAAGGCGATGGAGTGAGATATGTGCGATCAGGAGGTGCTGACTCCCGCTGGTAGGGCCATCGCTCTACCCCCAGCCTCCGGCATGCGCTCTTCAGAGACGTCAGCGAGATCCCCTGCCGTCCTCGTTAGCTCGCTCCTCTCCTATCCTCTGCCCTGCTCCTCCCCTCCCCTCCCCTCCTCTTCCTCAGCGAGCGACAGCTTACCAGGACGCGAGCAGCTTCGACCTGACGGAGATGAAAGAGGGAGGTGACGGCATGACGGTCGAGGTGGATGTAATCGCGGTGATGGGAGTTGCGGGGGCGAGCTTGGATGAGGACGGAGGGTCCTGTCGCTGGGGGCTGTTGTGTCGCCATGAGAACTTGGTGGAGAGGGACGGGACTGGAAGGAAGGTGAGCCGGAAGGTTCAGCGAGGGAGTCAGACTCGGTGTAGGCAGCCCGGATATCACCGAGTCAACTTTTGATCCCGGAGGCCATCCCACTGTGGTAAAGTTCGGTTTTGACCTTTTCAACGGTTCTGTTTATCCGTACTAACAAATTTACTTATCTTTGTATAATTCGACTCCGACCCGTGCCACTGAACGCTGTTGGGCCCCGGGTTTACTCCTCGCCGGACAGTCACGGCAAGTCCTCGAGTGCCGTGCTGTATCATGAGTGCGACCGTACGGTTGGACGGTCACTAAGTCCGGACCGCCGGAGAGGGCGGGCCCGTACGGTCCGATCAGACGGTCAGTCCTGAACCTGGTCACCGTATGGCCTCCCAGGCCGAGTGTGCGACAGTTGTGTCAGGGTCAAGGGTCCGGAGGAAGGTTGTCTCAAATTCTGCAAGACCATCGAATGCCTGTTAGGACCCCATTCTTTTGCCAACCCATTCACAGACCAGGGCGAAGGTGAGTCTGATAATTTTGATCCCACGGTAATCATCATGATCGACGCAAGAATCGCTGGCATGGCGGCGGGGGGGTATTGTCCAGCGCGCAGTTAAGTGAAGGTATCAGTTAAGTTTGGGGGGCAGCAGTTGGCAGGATTGGGTTTGGTTCTCGCTGTCTTTTCTCTTCTCGCCGTTTGGCCTGTGCGACAGTGTCAGGGTCAAGCCTCCTCGACTCTCCTGATTGTCCTCGTACTGATCTTTAACTTAACTTTGAGTAAAAGTTGGTCAAGGGTCACCTCCTCCTCGCCGACTCGACTCTCCTGATTGTACGGTCCTTGTACTGCCTGATTTTTCCCTTAACTTTGAGAGCCGGTGAGTACTCTGGTGCGGGCCCGCTACTTAGATAATGAGGGCGATGAGATTCTGTCCCTGCAACTCTACTCAAGGACCAAGATACCTGACTACCCACCCTATGAACATCTCTACCCCCATTTCAACTTATATTTCATCAGTGATGACCCCCTCCTTTTCGAAACCCACCCCTTGGAGACTTGACTCACTTGCCTAAGGATCCATGGCTTGGGAGGGGCTCCTTCAATGCCACCGGGTTGAACGCCTCCTCCACGATGCTCCTGCCGCCTGCTGCTCGCCATGTTCCTCCTGCTCCCTTCCTCTCTGAGACTCTCTGACCCAGTTACCCTGCTATCCTCTCTCGGCTACCCCTTCAGCCTGTGAATCGAAAGAGCTCCTTGGAATTCACGACTGATCGTTCGGGCGCGCGGAGATGCTGATGAACACTCCTCGTGCTCTCAGTGGCCTGCTCTTCCTGTCTTTCCTGTATGCAAGCCAAGGCTTTACAGCTCCTTCCTCCTGTGGCCCCTTCTCCTTCCAGTGTAAAACGAACAAGCTGCATGGCTTGGTTCCTCACAGGACATGCGTGTTTCCGAACTTGCGTTCCCCTCCTTCGCCTTTCGTTTGGCCCTCGCACTCCCATGCGAAGATGGCTCCAGCCCTCACAAGACTCAGAACTGGTCCTGTGGGGCTGGAGGCTGAAGCCTCGAGCATGGAGGAGCCAGGAGCCCCTTGGAACATCGCTTCTCTAAGCGGGACGCCGGAGGTGGTGGACGCTCTTCGATCGAAGTTCCGGCAGACCGGACAGATCACAACCGAGGAGCTGGCCTCCTGCTTCCCGTTCCCAGTCGACGAGTTCCAGATGGATGCGATCCGAGCCTTGATCGAGAAGAGGAGCGTGATAGTCTCCGCTCCTACTGGGAGTGGCAAGACAGTCTGCGGGGAGGCAGCGGTGTACCTCGGGTCTGCCATGGGCAAGAAAGTGCTCTACACGACGCCTCTGAAGGCGCTGTCCAACCAGAAGTTCTCTGACTTTTGCAAGCAGTTCGGGAAGGAGAGGGTCGGGCTCTTGACCGGGGACGTCAGCGTCAACAGGGACAACGCGACGATACTCGTGCTGACGACGGAGGTCTACCGCAACATGCTGTACGACTCTCAGGACACCGTGGCCTCGGAGGTGCACTCGGTGATACTGGACGAGTTCCACTACATGAACGACGAGAGCAGGGGGACGGTGTGGGAGGAAAGCGTGATCCATTCCCCTCCCGAGATCCTCCTCGTAGCGCTATCCGCCACGATGAAGAACGTCAAGGATATCAGGGACTGGTTCGCCCATGTCCACGGCCCGACGGATCTCATCACCTCCGACTTCCGCCCGGTCCCTCTGCAGTTCAAGTTCATCGACAGGAAGGGAATCCTCAACCTGTTTGACAATGAGAACAATAAGAAGGGTCAGCCCAGGCTGAACCGCCTCCTCCTCCCCAGCGCTGCAGCAGCCCAGGACCCTCGGAAAAAGTCTGGGGGAAGCTCCAAGTTCGATGGATGGAATGGGAAGAACTCTCGGCGATCGTACGAGTCTGGCCCGAGGAGGAGGAGAGAAGGAGGAGGAGGAGGGGGAGAGGAATTTTCAACCCCGAGTGGAGAGGGGTCTAGTGGGCGCAAGAGAGGAGGAGGAAGTTATGCTGAGATACCGAGCTACGGGTTTGCGGTCCGACAGGTCTCCTTATATTCAGAATACTCCTCCTCCCCGCCCTCTCCTCTCTCGCGCGCTCTCGAATCTCCTCTCCTTTCTCCTGCTCGCTCTTGCTTGATTGACGTTTTGCCCTGCAGTTGCAGAAGCGAGAGATGCTGCCCGCCATCATCTTCATCTTCAGTCGCGCACAGGTATGATCGGAGGGAGAATGTGACGGCATGATGGTGGAGGTGATTGAGCTCAGAAAAGAAAGTGGTTGTGAGTTTGATGATTGAGACGATGATAGTGATGATGAAAAAAGTACTGCGCCGATGTTGATGACAACGTCGTCAATGACTGATTGTTTCCCTTCTTGTTTCTCCACCATCCAGTGCGACAAGGCGGCAGAGGAAGCGGCGAACCAGAAGGTCAGGAAGAAACAGGGGGGAAACCTTGACAGATGTTGACGCGTCTGATCAGAACTCTCTTGTCACTGCTGAAGAGAAGGCAGAGATTCGCAAACGACTCCAACTGGAAAGTTTTCGAGTTGCTCGCTGTGATTGGATCTGTGACATGCTCCTTACTCCTGCAGTTTGTCTCCCAGCATAAAGAAGTGGCTCAGGAAGACCGGATCAGGTGAAGTGGGAGGGGGCGAGGAGGGAGAGAGGGAGCAAGGAACGGAAGGAGAGGAAGGGAGAGCAGGGAGGGAAGGCAGGTCAGCAGGCAGTTTTGTCACTTCAACAACAGGCTTGCTCTCCGTGGAATTGCGTCTCATCATGCTGGGCTGGTTCCCCTATGGAAGGTAAGAGAAGCTTCTGTGCACGAAGACACTCGAGGAGTGGAGAGTAAGGGTCTTGTGCAGGCGCTGGTGGAGGAGCTTTTCCAGGATGGACTGATCAAAGTGAACATGCTGCTCAAAGATTCATCCCATCTCCTTGCTCCTCCTAACTCCATCCCGCTCTCCTCCTGTTGCTCTCTTTCTGGTTTCTCCCTTCTCGTCCTCCTCTTTCTCTTCTCTTCTCGCACTCTTTCTCCTTGCCTCTCCTCTCCCCTCCTCCTTGCTCACGCGCCCTATCGTTTCCTGCTGGGTTCACCTTTCCCTCAATCGCACCTCCCTCATCGGCGGCTGCTTCCCTCGCACTTCCTGTCCTCCTTCGCTCTTACCTACCTCGCCCCTCAGGTTGTGTTCGCCACGGAGACGCTGGCAGCAGGCATCAACATGCCAGCAAGGACGACTGTCATCAGCTCTCTGTCCAAGAGAACCTCCGACGGAGTGACGAGGTAGACCCGTGTCATGGTCGAGCGCCTGGGTCTCACCTTGTGCCTCCTCAGCCTGACCTCCAACGAGCTAAGGCAGATGTGCGGGAGGGCAGGAAGGAGGGGCAAGGACACGGTGAGGGAGAGGAGGAGGTTAACCCGCTCTGACGCCTCCGGTGACCTCAGGTCGGTCACTCGGTGATCATGAGGAGCAAGTGGGAAGGAGCTCCCGAAGCCTTCACCCTCGTCATGAAGGTAAGTCCTCAGCCTTCCCTTTCTCCTCCTCCTGCTGCTGCTGCTGCTTCTCCTTCTTCCCCTCCTCCTCCTCCTCCTCCTCCTCCTCCTCCTCCTCCTCCTCCTCCTCCTCCTCCCCCTTCTTCCCCTCCTTCTCCTCCTCCTACTGCTGCTATCCTTCTCTGTCTTCCCCACCCTCGTCCTCCCCCTTTTTCTCCTCCTCCTCCACCTCCTCCTCCTCTTCAAGATTTGTCATCCCTGCACCCTCCCCTTCCTCACCTTTCCAGCGTGTTTGTGCCATGGCACCTTAACGTCTTCCCTCCTTCTCAGGATGCGGATCCCCTCCGATCGAAGTTTTCTCCCAAGTACGGGATGGTGCTGAACCTGCTCCAAGACCGACCCATCCAGGTGCCTTCCTGCTCCCAGTCTCCTGCCGAGTTGACAAGGGCGCAGGAGTGCAAGAAGATCGTCGAGCGATCCTTCGGCTCTTTCCTCGGTGAGACGCCGAGCCCGACTTGCTTCCATGGCTGAGGTGTCATGCGCAACCAGCGTCGATCAAGAGACGCGGCAAGTCGGACGGTGCGGAAGACGTTGAGATGGAGGTGCAGGCAGCGCAAGTGAGTCTGATGGGCTGAAGCCTTTCACTTCATCCTCCCCTCCCTCTTCTCACCTGCTGTTTGCCTATCCTTGTGGTCCTCCTTCTCTATCTTGCCTCGTTCAGCAATTCTTCTCCTCCCCCCTCCCCTCGTCCTTCATTCCCTCATCTCATCCCACAGGATCTCCTTGCGACCGTCGAAGAATCGGAGTTGCAGAATTTCGCCAAGTTGACGCAGAGGCTGAAAACTGAGCAGAGAGTTTTGAGAATTCTTCTGCAGCAGGTGGATGTAGATCAATGGCCCGCTACGTCGCGTGTAACTCGTTCAAACAGGCTCAAGAGCGGATGAATTCTGTTTTCGAGGTCCTCCCTCCTCCCTCCTCCCTCCTCCCTCCTCCCTCCTCCCTCCTCCCTCCTCCCTCCTCCCTCCTCCCTTTCCCCCGGTCCCCTGCCCTCCCCTCCCTCTCTCCCTCCACCCCATCCCTCCCTCTCTCCCTCCCTGCACCCGCCTCCCCCTCCTTTCTCTCTCTTCCAACCCTTCTCACTCCTGTTCTCCTCAGGACACTCTTCCGTACTGCTCCCCAGGCACTCCTCTCCTCCTCACCCCGCGCAAAGATGCAACGTGACAGCTCCCACTCATTGCCCCTCCCCCTGACTGATCTGTTCCCCGTCAGCGACAATCGCCCGGAGTCTGCCGTCCTGCTCGGCCTCCTGTCCGACCAGCTGCTGGACATATCAACTCCCAACTACTTCGTCTGCCTGACTTCCACCAACGATTACCGGTGAGTCTCGTCTGCCGGCCCGCCGTCCTCGGCCCCTCTCAAGGCCCCCGGCAGGGTCGTCACACCCAAAGACATTGTGGACGTTGACTTGGAGAGCGAGCCGGTACGTGTTCCTGGTTGGCTGCTGCTGGGACCTCTGAGGGAGAATTTCCTTCAGGTCTCCATGGTAGACGAGCAGGGAGCAAGAGTGGACGTGAACGAGCTCATCGCCAAGATCTCCTCTCGGAGTGCGATCAAGAGAGCAAGCGGCGACTACCTCATGGTTGCGCCGAGGGAGCTGGCCGCCATCGCTGCAAGGTTCCTTGACCGCCTCCTCCTCTCCCTCCCCACTCACTCGTTCCTCAGCATCCCCGTCGTTGAGGTGAACTCGAGGGTCCACAGGAGCGGCACATGTTTGAATCTCCTCCTCTCCCTCTGCAGGAGCCCAAGACTCCTCCTGAGGTCCTCGCGCAACAAGACCGGGTCAACCACGTCGAAGCTCTCTTGACCTCCCATCCTCTCTTCGCACGCGAGGACAGGAAGGAGGTAAAGAGCCCCTGCAGCCCTTCAGCTGGGCCGTGGCTCACGACGTTTCTCAGCTCCTCCGAGCCTACAAGTTCATCTCGGATCAGATCGCCACTGGTCGCCTCCGACAGAAGGCGACTGAAGTGACTCGCCATGACCTGTGACCAACTCAAATGACTTTTTCTTGCGGCTTGACAGGCCCCCTCGGCCAGTGTTGAGAACCCTGCCTGGAACGAATTTATCAACTGTGCAGCAACGTACTCGCTGATTGCCTTCCCTCCTCCTGCTCCTCCTATAACCTTCTTGTTCTCTCCCCCCCCCCCCTCTCCTCACCCTTCCTCTCCTCCTCCTCACCAGCCATCTTCATCTCCTGGCTCTACTCCCCCTGCCTCTTCCTCCCTCGCTCCTCTTCTCCTCCTCTCTCAACCATCAGCTCCTATCTTTTGTGTCTCTCTCTCCTCCCTCACCTTCTTGTTGCAGTCTAAGAGACTTCGGCTTCCTAGTCGAGAACAACGTGACAGACGTCGGCAAGTTGGTTGCCAGTTTGAATGCCGACAATTCTCTTGTGAGGCCTCTTGCTTCCTGCTTCTTGCTTCTTGCTTCCTGCTTCCTGCTCCTGCTTCCTGCTTCTGCTTCCAACTTCCTGCTTCTTTCCTTCCATCCTCCTGATCTGCTTTCTTCAGTGGGTCGGGTCGGTTCTTCTCTATAACGATATCCTCTATGAGCTCGGCCCGCATGAGCTGGCAGCAGCATTGGTGCGGAAATAGATCTTCTCCATCTCCTCCTCCTCCTCCTTGGATTGTTCATCTCCTCCTCCTCCATCTCCTCCTCATCCTCCTCCTCCATCTCCTCTTCCTCTTACTCCTACTCCTCCTCGGATTCACCTCACTCCTCCTTTCATTGTCTGGTTTTCTGCAACTCAAACTTCACTTCTGCATCCCCCTCCCTCCCGCTGTACCTCCTCGCCTTCATACCCTGGGCTGCCGGACACGATACTGAATCTCCGAGCAGTCTTGCGTCGTTTCTGACCTCAACCGGCCGGACATTTACATCGCCTTCGATGCCTCTCCCAAGGTGAAAGAGGATGGAAGATAGAGCAGGAGACGGGAGTGGGTAGACAAGGAGGAGGTTGAAGGGAGGAGGAAAGGGCAAGGAGGAAGAGGAGCAGGATGATGGAGGAGGGGATGGCAGGGGGGGGGGATGTGGAGGAGAAGAGGCTAACCGTCCAATAGGTTCAAGACTTCGTCGAGCAGGCGTCAGACATGCAGTCTCGCGTCATCGCCTCCCAGCTCGCCAACGGCCTGACCTTTGAAGTTCCTCTCGACCCTTCCTTCGCAGGGCTCGTTGAGGCCTGGGCCCTCGGTCCGGTCCTCTTCCTCCTCCTCCGCCTCTCACCCGCTCCTTCCCCGCAGGAACATCATGGAACTCGCTGCTCGCCATGACGTCCATGCAAGAGGGAGACGTCATCCGCGTTCTCCGCCGGGTCCTCGACATCCTCCGCCAGGTGTGTCCCGCGTCATCCGCCTCCCTCCTCTGACCCGCCTGCTCCTCGAAGATCCCAAGGCTGCCCTACGTGCCGGGAGAGCGAGGAGTAGGAGCGGAGATCCGCCTCAACGCCAGGAGGGCCCTCACCCTCATGGATCGCTTTCCCGTCAGCGACGACCTGACCTACTCCATCGAGCTCGGTGACTTGCGCTGCTCCTCTTTCCTCGACCTCCCCGCATGACGGCCCACGGCAGACGAGCGGCTCGAGGACGAGTCGATGCAGGTGTTCGCTCAGGGCATGGAGGAGATGCGGACTCGGCTAATTGGCAAGAGCGGCGTCAGCCTGTCGGAGGACGAGCACGTTCGGTCTGAGCAGCTCAAGGTGGAAGGAGGGGAGGGGAGGCTGCCGGAGCTGAGAGGAGAGCAGGTGAACGTGGGATGGGAGGAGACGTACGAGGTGGACGCGGACGAGAACGCCGTCATGTGGCCTCCCCTTTCTTCTCCCTACGAAGTCGACGAGGACCTTGGTATCCTCTTGCTCACCTCAACCGCCATGCTGACTCCCCTCCAGGGTACTCGACGTATGCCCAGGAGGGCATTTTAGAGGGTATGGACGAGCAGGAACAGGATGATGAAGAAGAGGACGAGGAGGACGAGGAAGATTTTAAGGTTTCCAAAAAGAAAAGAGCTGCTGGAGAGAAGGATGATGAAGATTGGATTCGGGGGCTTGGTAAGAGCTTGCTTGAGCTGTTCCGCCTGCTAACCACAGCTGGACCAGGGCTGGGCAAGGGAGTCGAGTCCCTTCCTGGTGATCTGCGGATTTAGATAGAGCGCCAGACGTCAAGGACGGGAGGGTTGGCCAGCTCTCGATAAGATTGCTTTCTTCTACAGAACCTTCTCGCCAGCATCATCCTCACCGATGTGAGTGAAGTCGTCTGGAACGATCCAGAAAACTGCGACAAGCACATGTCAGCGGAATTTTCCTCGGCAGTCACCATATGTCACCATGATCCGAATAGCTTCCTCCAATGGAGATTTTTGCTGTGAACCAACAAGAGTCAGTGCTCTTGTAATGAAAGATTGACTTCGAACATGTTAGCTTGGCAACGACTCCCGTAGCTGCTCCTGACAATCCTCCGACGAAGATGCTGAAAGCAACGATGATGGTCTGCGTCTCGGTCGAAGCCCATTTGTCTCCGTAATGCGGCATGATGGTGTCAATCAGGTCCGCGTTCCGGAGCGTCTGCAGCAGGTTGAGCAGGGAGAGTGATAACTCTTGTTGCTCCATGAGACGCACCACAGTGTTGTTGTCGATCCCAAAGATGCACACAAAGATCATAACCGTCGCCCCCCAGAGCCCAGGGATCAGGTGCAGGCTCGCGATCCCCTGTGTGTCCTGATCCGCGATGATGGGCTGCAGGTAATGGAACGAGAGGGTTGCTAACAGCGTTCCCCCTGCCATGACTGTCAGTCTCAACCTCCAGCAGATGCCTTCGTCGTCGTACCAGCACCGACCAACATCATAAACACTGGATCGATGAACATACACGCTGGAGTCGACGCGGCTACTCCAGCTGCACGGAGTGTCAAGAGTCAAGGGCTCTAGGGAGGAGAGGAAGGAGGAGGGGTCGGCACAAGTCAGGTTCTATGGGAGGCAGGGAAGGGGGGGGCTCAGCCTACCCGCAAGTACTCCGTCTTGGAGGTGCATGACTGTAGGGCCCTCAGGGTAGACCAAATTTGCCCATATGAAGTTGAACATTCCTCCCGCCATCATAGCAGCGAACGTGTTGGTCGCCACGAACACCCTCAAGGAGGCAGGGGCCCAGTAGGAGTTGAAGGAAGGGAACGTCACAAACATGAACAGAGACCCTGCAACGTCGTCGTCAGGGCATCGCGACGTCACTTGAAGACACTTCGTCGCACCCAGGATGGCGTAATTGTTGCTCTGATATCGCGATGAGTTGTCCGGGTTCTTGCTCAGACCTTTGCCTGATACGACGATGGCACATCCGATACCATAAGCAGCTCCAAAGATGTGGGTGGTGTAAAGACTAGGCCCAAGTTCAGAAGGCTCCTACAAGGCTTCGAGATCTAGCGCCTACCTCCCAGTGTTGTCTACGCCTCCTCGATAATCGACGCTTAAGAACTTGTTCCCGCAATAGGCTCCAACGTTGATGACAACTATCAGCATCATCTGCTGCGGATTCACCTACAGTCGTCGACGGTACGTCAGAGGAGAGCAAAATCTTGGTTTTGCAGATAGAAGGACCTTCCCCAATAGGGCACCGTAGGAGACCAAGACAGCAACAACTCCATACTGACCCTTCAAGAAATCTTTTGACAAGGTGTCAGGACTATCTGCTTGACCCGACTGCATCTCACCTGAAATCTGGAGGGCTAAAGGCGGCAAGCCATTTATGCTTGATAGTCCACTGCACGTGCAGGCGCGTGTACGTTGATAGTTTTCAAACTGTGAAGCAAGAAACTTGAGACAGAAGCGAAGCTTCTTCTTGGCGATACCTGAGTGAGACTTGGGTTCTTACTGTACGGACATCCAACCAGCGCAAACTTGGTTTTCAAGCTCTCACAGTAGGAGGCGTCGATCCATTGCAGCAAGAGCGAGCACCACTCTTGCGCCAGGCAGCTCATCAAGAAGGACATGGTGAGAGAGGTGTAGGCGTATTTCCTCAGGAACGTCATGGTGAGGCACATGCCGAGGAAGGTATACATGTTCAAATCTGAGGCACGAGTCATGAGGGAGACGTCAAGTCTTGGTCACACGAACCGAACATGAAGGGCATGTCGGGCTGACCGTACTCAGACTCTTGGGGAGCAGGCGTGGGTGGGCGGAGAGCTGTTAGCAGCGCGTGACCTAGCAAGTGCAACGGGAACAAGAGGTACAGACCTTGAGCTTGATCGAGCTGCGCTTGCCTGGCCGGATCAATCTTCTGCTGTGTGCCATACCCATCGTGTCTTGTCATGATGCCATAAGCTATGATTATCAGAGTTTGTATAATCAGAAGATTGCATGCAAAGAAGTTGAAACGTAGTCCCATCTTGTTTACGCGATCATTTCTTTGAACTCAATCCATCCTCGTGCATGAAAGCTGAAGGAAGTGTCAGAACGACAGTAATGCCGTGTTCATCATATCTTGTCCTATCAATCAGTTTGTTGCTCTTCTCGTCATTCATCAACTTTGATCGCAGCTAGCTTGGAAACCGCTTCTTATCTCTCTTTCTTCTCTTCTCTCCTTCTTGACGATCTCTTTGCATGTATGTCAACTGCTTCAGCGTTCTCTTCTTCTCTTCCGTTCCTCTCCTCTTTGCTTCCTATCCTCTTCCTTCGTTTGCCTATCCCTGTTCATTCCTCTCCCTTCCTCTTCCTTCCTTTGCCTATCCCCGTTCATTCCTCTCCCTCTCCCTCTCCCTCTCCCTTCCTCTCCTTCTTCCCCTTCCTTCAGGTCCCCTCCCTCTCCATCGCTCTCATCTTCCATGGCACGGTCGGCTCCGTCTCGGCTCATCCTCACCGCCATGCTGCCCCTTCACTGGGAGAGGCCCCAGATGTCTACTGTCAAGTCCGGGTAGGCCCGGGCAACTTCAGTTCCGACAGTTTCCGGGCCGCCCGGGCCCCGGCCGCGGGGGTGGCCGGCGGCCGGGCCGCGCGGCTCACGACTCCGTCCGGACTGAGCCTGGCACACTGCCCGACTCGTTCACTGGGAGCCAGCCGGGCTGAGCGGGACATCGGTGTAGGTGGCGTAAATCGCTGAGAGGATTCTGAAACCTAAGAAATTCAGAAATTAGGAGATTTTATCTCCTAATAACACTTTTTCTTTTTGACGAACAATTTCTCCTCTCGAAAGCGCAACATGAGCAATTGATTGCAACAACGAGCAATGAATCAATTGCTTGTGATGCTCCAGTGTACCATATGAGACCATCACTACATCGTCAACATAACACTAAGAAACACTTGTCAATTCCAGTCAATACATTCTCTGAGAATTTTTGAAACTGATTATCAGAATGAATTAAACCAAATGGAAGTTTCGTAAACTCGATTTTTCGCAACTTTGTAATAAAGCACGTAAGATATCGATGATCAGGATTCAATTCAAGCTGCTAGAAAGAACGAGCCAAGTCCGTGTTGCTGGTGATATATAATTGTGCATCCTGCACATTCGAATTCTCTTGTTGTTCTCGCTGAAATTGTACGACTAAAGTTTTCTGCCGTCGGCACCCAATTTTAATTTGACTGATCGTAATTTTAATTTGACTGATCGTAATTTTAATTTGACTAATCCCAATTCCTGATGCAGCGAAGTTCCGAGTTTATCGAGATGTTTCTCAGCTGATGAGACGCTTGGGAGCAAAATGATAGCAGTTACTTCGCAGCTCCCGTCCTGCGCGCAGAGCTCAACCTGCGGCGAGACCAGGTTCTGTGAGACGCCGGGCTCGGTCGTGTTGAAGTTCACGTTGAGACAGCGGGTCTGGCGAATGCTGCCGAGGCCAGTTCGGCCAGGGAGGCGTAGCCTGACTCGAAGGCACCGTCACTGTACTCGTACTGCAGGCCCAGGTAGCCCCAGTCCGCCAGCTCCTCGTCCGGGTGCAGCACGGGCCCGAGGATGCGGTCGAGCTCGGCGTTGAAGAAGGAGGAGTGTTGTATACACAACACAGAGATTGTCAACGACACGAGTAAAGTAAGGATGAAGAAGATAGAGAAGCAGAAGATAGAAGTCTCTAAGTTTACTAGGAAGTAAACTTGCGAGGTTGGGGAGGGTGTGCTGCAGAACCCCGAGGGAGGGGTCGAAGTAGGCTGACCCGAGCCCCAGGAAGTCGGTCACCAGCGAGTCATCGAGAAGGAGAGGAGCGCCTTCTCCGTCCGCTTCACGCCAGGCCTGACGTCGCCGCTCAGGATGTAGTTCTCCACCTGCTGGAAGATGTCGGAGATGTCGGTCAACGGCGGATACGAGCCGTCGTCCCTCGGCACGGGGTCGGTGAGCGAGATCTTGTTGTTGTTGTCGAGGCTGTTGTCCTCCGAGCGCGCGTAGGCGTTGCTAGTAGGCCTTGCTCTGATCATGTCGGGGACTGGAAGAGGCCCCAAATCATCTGAGTGTCCGAGGGACGGTCTACCGTGGTGGATCGAGCCGCAGCTGTGGATGATACACCCCAGTGACCGGCGTCAGCGGCCCTCAGCCGGGCTGCCCCCCGGGCCGCTGGTCACGAGTCATCCCAGGTCTTTTTACCGAACGGTACGGTAGTGTTCTCAGATCTCATTGTCTAGCTACATGATGATTCGCCGACTCTTTCCTGCAGTATCTTCTCCGCCAGCTCCAGGAACGGCTGGTACATCCTCTCAAGTTCTCTGCCTAGCGCGTACAGACGCTCCATCCCTTCCTTCGACTTCTGCATTCCAAGGATTGTCTCTTCCTGCAGTCATCACCGTACGTGCACAGTCAGCATGCTGCTACTCTCCCTCCCTTCCCTCCCTTTCCCCAAAGAAGTTCTCACCGCGTACAGGTCGGACACGAAGTCGTTGGTCCATGTCTCGTAGTCTCGTCCGGCGTTCAAGAACCTCTGGATACTCGAAGTCGACCTGTCTGACGGCACCTGAGCTGATTTGTACTCCTCCCTGTCAACCTGCAGTGCCCCGCAGGAAGCAGGGGATGTTAGATCGGTACCCTCACTTGACCCCTGTATCCAAACAAGCACCACCCCTGGCTTCAGCTCTCTACTCTCTCTCCCCTCCCCTCGACTCACCGGGACTAGGAAAGTCCTTATCGCTCTTGGTCGCCCGTAGCTATCGAACTCCTGCTGCTGTATCAACCTCGCGACCACACACTCTGTTCCCGTCTCGTCTCTGAAGTTTCGAAGCCTCATCAACAAGGCCATCGGCTGCCCCGGTCTGACTGCAAAGGACCAGGTACCGAACATCACGTAACAGAAGTAGGTGAACTCAGTTGAGAGCAAGGACAGCTCTCTGTTTGCTATCCTCGCCAGCAGCTCCTCCGCATGCAGTCCTACAAGCCTCGACGTGGCATCGGAAACAAACACGTGCGCTCGCTGCCCCGTCGACGGATGCAGATGCTGCTTCACCACCCCGAAGCTCTGCTGGTCGTAGAAGGCTCGGTCTACCTCCAGGTCTGGCTTCGTCTCCGTCTCGCCTCCTTCCATCAGCAGTTGGTCTTGCCATCCCCGACTTCTCTCCATCTTGTCTGCCACGATGATCTCTACCGCATGCAGCGCTCGTCGCGTCACCTGCTGCAGGTAGGGAGGAAGACAGAGGAAGGTGTTCATCAGCTCCTGCGAGCTGAAGCCGAACTCCCAGTGCCTCGCCAGCACGCGATCCGGCCACCCCATTGAGTTCATCTGCTCCCGTAGAGCTGACGGCTTGTCGAACGACATGCTTCGGATCCAGAAGTCCAGCGGTCTCTCCACCCATAGCTCTCCCATCCGCCTCCTCTCATGCACTAGCACAAGGTCTAAATGCTCCTCATCCTTCCTCCCGTCGTCTATGACGATCAGCTCCATATCCTCGTACATGCACTCCTCCTCTCTCGATCGAGCCCTGCAGCGTGAGCAGGGTCGACCCTCGTCGCACCTGACCTTGGATCTTCTGCACGCATCGCAAGCGACCAAGCTCCTCGAGGATGAGGGCTTGGCTCCTCTTAGTCTGACACAAAGCCCTTGCACGTTGTGCTTGACGCATCTGCATCCGCCATCACATGACAAGTTGAGAAAAGAGTCGCTTCACTCCAAACACGACACGATAAAACAAATGGCACCTCCTCTCTTACTGGTCCTCACCTCGAGCATGGCTGGAAGTTGTCACACTTTACTTTCGCATCCATGCATGGTATGCAAGCAAACTTGATCTTGGTCATGCTCGCGCTGATATGCCTGTAGGTGAGTCAGTGAGCCAACATTTTCTTGGATTATGAGGTTTGACAAGTGCAAGCTACGGGGCTATCTATCTCATCACACTGTCATCATCATACTCTCTTCAGCTGTCTGCCAGGCTCTGCTTCTTGAGCCTCTAACCACTCCCCGTGCTCATCACTTCCATCCTTCCGCAATGACCTGCTTTTAAAAAGCCTCAATGTTTTTTTTCGGGATCTGCCGAACGCGCGGAACTTCCGACAAGGTCTCGGTCCGAGCCTCGGAAGCACAGGCACCGCCGGTACAGTAGTAAACTACTAGCTAGTAGTACTTCTTGGTAGGAACTTGTCGCCAACCAAGATTGGGACATCGAGCTTTGGAGTACCCCTCACCTTCCACCGCTTCAACCAACGAATCAGGATTGAATACACAGACCCTGACGCATGATGATCGGATCCCATGTTGGCGTGTCATGAGACAATGTTTTAAGATGATGATGTAAACCCACGGACCCACCGTACTACTACGGTACCGAATGATTCGAAACACGTAAAGTGACTGGTGACAGCGACCGTACCCCGACTCGGAGCCTCCGGCTGTGGTGGCCGCAAGGGGTCGTTGGAGTTTCATATCACTTATATGTGACGGTCACTGTCGTGTGGATCCCTAGTTATGCTACTACCGGATCGGCCGGTCGACATGAGCCGCCCCTCCTCAATCAGGCCTGCCAGTAGTAAACAAGTTGCCAGGGCACCGTGATCGGATTCCGGAACTTCGGAAGTTCGTTATTCTAGCCTACTACCTGGCAATCGGACAGGCGTAAGTGAGTGGAAATGCGCCTACTCGCCACTTTCATTTCGGTGGTGACGGCGAGAGCGAGGGAACAGCGACAAGGGAAGCGTGAAGATCCGCTCTCACTTCCATCATCACTGTGAGACATCATGGCGCGGCACAAGCGGCCTGCCGTCCTCCGTCCTCACAGTTCTGTTGTTGATCCTCTACTGACTGGCATGCCGGGCTCGTCGTCCCACTTTCCTACACAGGCCTTGTGTCCCCAGAGAGCTCCTCTGACTCTGAGCCACGCTCACAGCAGGAACCCCTACGGACTCCTGACATGCTGGCAGGGCAATCTCTTTCTGCAGCGTCTCCTCCGCAGGATGACTTTGCCTCCTCCGCCGCTGGATCTGGAGGAGGTTCGGGGAACCAAAGACCTCGGAAGCAGGCAAGATTTCGCCGATCCATCTCCCAGCGGACACCCACCGATCAGCCTACGGTCAATCCTACACCCCCACCGCCCCCTCCTCAACCGGCAAATCTTTTCCCAGAGGACCCTGGCACGCAATCTAGCGCAGCGGCTTACTTTCATAATCTGCGTCCGCAAGACATGCCTTGTGGTACGTCGAATTGGCACAGAGCCCTCCCTCTCTTTGCTCAACAGGGACCACATAAGCTTCCGGCACTCCTGGCTCGTAATCCTTCCATTACAACCATCAAACACCCCAATCGCCAGACGATTGATAAATGGAAGAGTGCGCTACAGTTTACGTTAGACCTGCTACAAGGTTACCCTGACTTGCATTGCGAGGAAGCCTAGATTATCCGGAGCTTGTGGCATTGTCTCCCACTGCTCCTGCTGAGAGTGAATCCAGTTCTTGCAATCTCGCGACAAAACCGAGATGTGAGCTACCGTATCCACCATTTCCTCCAAGGGCGTTGGGGGACATTGCTGAAACTAGAAGAGGGTGTTTCCTTTGACCAAGACGGCCCAGCGGTTGGCAGCGGTGGAGATCCGCAGGATGTCACGCAGCAGCCCACGGCGGGACTAACTGGGTCGGGACGAGGCACGAGACCGCGGGCACCGCAAGGTAGGCGCCAACAACCTAACCGTCAAAATGCAGGTCGCCCACAAGGACCTGACCGTGCGAGAGAGGGCGTGCAGCAGCCAGTGATGGAGAGCGAGCAGTTCGAGAAAAGGAAAATCCTCTCGGCTGTTGAGCATTACCAAAATCGAGATATGAAGAAAGCTCGACAGGCGCTTGTGGGCCATGGCCTCTCCCCAGATCCATTTGAGCAGCTATGGCAGCAAACTCGTGAGAAATTTCCGACGAGACTGGACCCCATTCCTCCAACACTCCTAGACGCAGTCGGCTCCTCAAGGCAAATGCTAAGTGCTCAGCTCGACGATGCCATCGCCGATGAACCGGTCTCGTTGCTTGACAAGATTTTAGATCAGCGAGAGGTAGGGAAATTCCTGCGGCGATTCACTGCTTCCTCGGCCCCTGATCAATTTGGTTGGCGACCGTTCCAGCACCTGCGACACATTCTCAGACTGCATGATGATCACAAACAGCGATACATTAACCTCATATTGAAGCCGATCGCGCTGGGAATCCCTTCGGGCGCTTTCCTCGAGGAATACACCAGAGGGGGGCGATTCATTCCTGCTGCCAAGTCAGTGGAAAAGAGCGGAATCCGACCTATTGTGATAGGGGACCTGGAGCGAAGGATTGTGTCTAGCATCTTCTGTCGTTTCTACCGAAAATCTTTAGAGAGCCACTTCACCCTCAGTCACTCTCGGGTCCTGCAATTTTGCGTGGGTCTGGAGGAAGGTTGCCTCAAATTCTGCAAGACCATCGAATGCCTGTTAGGACCCTATTCTTTTGCCAACCCATTCCCAGACCAGGGCGAAGGTGAGTCTGATAATTTTGATCCCACGGTAATCATCATGATCGACGCAAGAAATGCCTTCAATGAGATCTCTCGCCAACGGCTATTTGACATCCTCCTTGCTCCCGAGCATCGTTGTGAAAACTTTTCCCAAGGAGTCCTTCCGTATGTTCATCAATATTATGGCCAGGCAGGTAAGTTATTTCTGAAACATCAGCGAGAGACTCGGGCTTTTTCGGCCACCACGGGAGTTTCTCAGGGGGACCCCTTGGCGATGGCTCTCTTTGCGCACACCACCTTCCCTTCCCTGGTCAAAGTCGCAGAGACCTTTCCCGACTGTGTCTTCCCGGCCTATGCGGATAACATGGCTGTTATTGGAAAGCTCTCAGTTGCCGCACAGGCCACTGCATCGCTGGTTGATACTTTAAAACAAGAGCTAGGATTGGAGATTCAACCCAGAGATTCGCAGATATTCTCCTCGTCCTGGTGCGAACTTCAATCTAGTCAGCAACAAGCCATCCAAGAGCATATTTGCAGCAGGTACCCGGGCTTGCAGCAGTTTGCCTTCCGCGGCCAGGGGATCATCCTTGGAGGTATCCCGATAGGATCTCAGTCCTTCCAGCAAGAGTTTATCACTGCCAAGGTGAATGCCCTCAATGCTGAATTGACCCAGTTGGAACAATTTCCCATTGCGTTGGGTCTCAAGCAGCTCTTGAAAACGACCCACGTTCCCACCCTCCAATACTTCTTGCGTGGAATCTCCCCGGCCTTGACAGCTGCCCAGTGCAAGTGCTTTGACGTCGCGAATCTCCGTCTCCTGGCGAAGGTGTTTCAGTGGCCACAGAACCAGGCACAGGAGGGTTTATCTGACCTGCAACCTGCCCCTGACACCCCTCCATCTGACCTTCACTTTGCCTATTTCAAACGTCAGTTGCCTTATAGTGCTGGAGGAGATGGGTTCACCCCGCAGGAGGGCGTGGCCCACACCGCATTCTGGTCGGCGACTGCCAAGTTTCTCAAATGGGCGGGTGAAATTGCCATCTTCCAGCATTGGATGTTACCTACACCGCCACTTTTCCACCGGATCAATTCTGACACTGAGCTTCGAATCCGCCAACCGCAGCAAGCGGACGCTGGGGATGTTGTCCCCATGCTGGCTGCCTTCTTAGACACTCACAGGCACTTGATGGAGCAGGGCATCTCGGCGTACACCTCCTTGGCGGAGCTTCCTCAGGCGTGCGACAATGGCTGGACCCCCTCGCCGGAATTATTTGGGACGTCGGGCAGTGCGCTTTTCATCCCCGCCCAGCGGGAGCTCACGGCTCAGTTCCTCTCGGAGTTTCCTCGGTTCCGCAGTATTCGGGCTCACCTTTCTGAGCGCCAGAGATCTTTGTTGGCACACCACTCCAGCTTCTCTACTCCCCTTCGAGTACCAGCCCACCCGGTTGATGAACTTCTGTCTCAGTTTACCCCTCAGCGCACGATTTGGCACTCGATCATGGAAAGTACAAACCTTGGGATCTTTGAGCAGCAGCCCATCAGCTTGGTGGCTGCCGCTGACAAGTTTTCTTCATGGATTGCCGGTTGACCTCCCGCCGCACTGCGATAGATGCCATCATCTTCTCCGTCATCCTGGGGGGACCACACACATGGCAACCTGCAGGCACCGCAGCCAGTTATGGACTGATGCGCATGAGAAGTGCAATGCCGTCCTCAGTACCCTCATCAAAGATTCCGGAGTGAGATGCCGCGTCCATGTGCAGGGCGTACCCGGCACCAGGCAGAACGTTTCCCAACATGGCCCTGAAGATCATCATGTAGGGGACTTTGAACTTCCACAACTGATGGCTACTGGAGGCGGATGGCATGGGTTAATCCTGGACTTCAGCATGTCACATGTTTTTGACAATGATGGAATACCGGACCTCGCTCGGAGCAAACTGCAAGCGGCAGCACAGCGGAAGATCCGAGGGCATCGTAATGCATATGCTCAGCACGTCCCGCCAAAGGCCTTTCTTCCCATCATCGCCAGCACTGATGGCCTCTTGCAGGACGATGCGTTGCGCTTTCTGTGGTGGCTGGCGGATCGCTCGGCGAACAAGGAAACGGCAGCGCTGGATGGTCTCTCGGCCTCGCAAGACGTCTCAGGTGATCCGACTTGCAAACGCATCCGGTCCAGGATCTTTCGTCAGCTCAAGGCCTCCCTGTCCTACGCTGCCATCATCGCGGGTGCATCCCGGTATGCGTCTCATTCCTTCGGCGGCGGCCACCGCGACATCGCTGGCATGGCGGCGGGGGGGTATTGTCCAGCGCGCAGTTAAGTGAAGGTATCAGTTAAGTTTGGGGGACAGCAGTTGGCAGGATTGGGTTTGGTTCTCGCTGTCTTTTCTCTTCTCGCCGTTTGGCCTGTGCGACAGTGTCAGGGTCAAGCCTCCTCGACTCTCCTGATTGTCCTCGTACTGATTTTTAACTTAACTTTGAGTAAAGAAAAGTGACCTAGTGGGCCGCGCTAGAGCCCCCTTGGCTCGCGCCTGAAGTCACTTGAAGCCCCCTACGCCGTTTTTTTTTTCTCTCTTATACTGATTCACGGTGAGCGGCTCACCGTCACTTTTACTCAAAGTTCAGTCACGTAAAGATTACTGAGCACTGCCGCAGTCTCCGAGCCTCCGACTCGGCCGGCGGCCGCCTGAAGTTCTAGTGACTTGACTCAGGGATGTCTGACAAGGCTAGTTTTGCTCCTGCGGCAGTGCCATGATCGGTTAGTATCCGACTGGCAGGCTGGCGGGGGGGGGGCCGGCATTATCATAGTATCACTAAACTCACTGAGTGACTCAGTCTTTACTCAAAGTTAGGTACGATTACTTTTTCCGCAAGCCTGGCCCCGGTCGGACAGTGCTGCAGTCACTCAGAGTGCCCCCCGCAGCGCCCGCGCGGCCGGCAGCCGGCCCCGCGGCGCCGCCGGGCCTCTCTCACTGACTCATGAGTCACCGGGCCCGGCCGGGCCCGGCCCAGTGGGGTGGGGTCCGAAGCGGCAATGTTGGATCATCGGGTAGTACCGTACTAGCAAAGGATAGGACCTGAGCCCCTAGTATCCTATAGAATGATACTAGGCTCAGGCGAAGATGGACAGTTCGGGGTACTGATGAGTAACAGGGGTCATCAGTGCTATTTCGGGTGACAATGACAATGGAGCACCTGACGGCGCCCTTGGCGGAGATCCGAGGGGGAAGGAAAGATGGAAGGTGAGGAGAGAGAAGCGACAGAGGAGAAGCGTGATGATTGCCATGCACGAGACTGATGCAGATAGTCTGATGTCCTTGTTGTTGTTGTTGTTGTTGTTGTTGTTGTTGTTGTTGTTGTTGTTGTTGTTGTTGTTGTTGTTGTTGTTGTTGTTGTTGTTGTTGTTGTTGTTGTTGTTGTTGTTGTTGTTGTTGTTGTTGTTGTTGTTGTTGTTGTTGTTGTTGTTGTTGTTGTTGTTGTTGTTGTTGTTGTTGTTGTTGTTGTTGTTGTTGTTGTTGTTGTTGTTGTTGTTGTTGTTGTTGTTGTTGTTGTTGTTGTTGTTGTTGTCTAATGTGATGGGACGAGAGTGTCGCAATGGATAGAGACGTGGTTCTTAAGTTGGTGAGGTCGTGGAGATGGAAATGATGATCGAAAGATGGGATGAAAGCATGTCATGACATAATGATGATCTCTACTACAACAATAGTGATCGTTCTTCGTATCTTGCCGACTTCTTGTTAACCGTCCTTGGAATTTTCTCTGGCATGTTCCTCTCCGCGTAACTAACTTGTTTGCCAAAGGAAATTCTTTGCTGCCGCAACTTCAGTGATTCTGATCGGCCTCGTTGTCATCGCGCTCTCAACCCAGGACGGCTCTAAGGTCAGACGTACCGCTCTTGAAGACATAGTCGTTGGCCAGAACATGGTGGATGAAGCCCAGAACGATGTCAATAATGAGCTTAACAATCTGCCTGCCAACCAAGCTGGCACTATAACTGGCTCCGTTCCCACGGATGAGGTAGAGGCACAGGCGATCATGGGAGCCAACGGGCCAACCATGGAGAAGACTATGACGGAAGAGTTCAACAACGTTGACGGGTCACATTCGGACGATGCGACGGTAGCTGACGCCATCATTGACGCTGCCAACAAGGACAACATCGATGTGACCGGAAAGGTCGGTGCCAAGATGTATCAGAAGGTGTTGGACGGTCTGGACGACAAGCGGGCGGCCTGGTTGCGAGGATCTCTCCCTAACTACAGGGCGGAATCCAAGTACATCACCAGGTATCTTGCGCTGCCGTCACGCCCACTTTCAGAGTAACGCGCATGCAGTGGTGTGACAGGAAACTATGAGAAGGAGCTCGAGAACGCTCCCACCATGGCTGTAGGAAAAGCAGCACAACAGTGTGACAACCTGACGGCGGTCGCAGGTAGTGAACGGCAAGCTTTCTCCACGCATCGTCGCAGGGTCCATCATCGACGAAGCTGAGAAGGACGAGACTTCTCCTGACTGTGAATGCTCCCTGTCGACAGCCTCGTGTGTTTGACTGTGTAATAAGGCACCGGATCAGTCGACAAGGACGGCAAGCACGGAGTTGGTAGGGGTACCCCTCCTTGCCAGGAGATTGTGGCCTTCAAGAAGCAGACCAACGTGATCTTTGTGTGGATGCCTCCTGTCTCTGATCAGTTTTTTTCTTTGTCAGAATGCCAACTTGCAGAACAATCCTACTCCGCTCACTGACAACGCAGGAAGCGATGGAGGTGAGGGGGAACCGGAGTAGTGTTGTTATGTGCTGACGTATGGAATTGCAGGATCAGGATCAGGATCAGGATCAGGAGCATGAGTTTAACTTTGCGTCGAGCAACGAGCCACGAATATGAAGAAATCTTGTAAGAATGAAGTCATCGCAGTCATGATTTGCCGGAAGAGCTGGAGGGGAAAGTTAGGACATGCCAGCACTGATCCCCCACCCCTTCCCCACTTCTTTCCCAGCTTTTAAGTCACCCAGCTGTATGTGCTGGACAGTTTTCTAGCCATCGCCGATTTCTATTTCCATTATCACATTCTCTCTGACCTTCTCGGTTCTCATACCCGCCGGAGGATCAAGAGGTCCAGGCTCACTCGCTGCAGAGCCAGGTCTCCATGCCCCTGCTCAGTAGCAAAGTCCACCTCGCTGCAGAAGCCCTTCCTCCTCATCAGCTCCTCATACTTCCTCTTGTCCGGGCACCAGCGGCATGAGGCTGGTACGAGCAGCACGAGGAGCCTCGGCCGAAATTGGAGAGCATGCTGCAGGTACATCTCACACATGATCGGTCCCTTGTGCAGTGGAGGGAAGATCCCTATGACCACGTTCGCTGGGACGTCTGAGGGCCCAGCTAACATCCAGCTCTTGCCCATGTAGTTCCTGTCCTCCGGCACGGCCTCGTCGTAGGAGGACCACGACAGGCCGAAGCACTGGCACAGGATGCTGCCAAACCTGTTGTTCCCGCAGGCGAAGTCGACGAAGTGGTCGGACTGGTTGATGACGCCTTGCAAGGCCTCCACCAGGCGATACACTGCATGCTCCTTGACCCTCAGTCTCGTCGCTGTCTCCCTCCCTATCAGATGCCCGAGGTATCGCTCCTTCTCCCTCAGCTCCCTTTCCGCCCTCGTTGGCTCCTTCAGCTTCTTCCCTCCTGCTCCTCCCAGGTCCTCACTGTCGAACATCCAGTCCCTCGCATGCTCCCTCTCGCTCCTCCGTACGGCGCTCACGTCCTCTAGCCTCACTCCCCTCGTCTCCTCCAAGATCTCCGATACTCCGTCATGCGCATCCTTGGACATCAGCTGCGGCCGGTTGCTCTGCCACGTCACCTCAGCCAGCTGCTCTTGCAGAATGTTCCCTTGCTTTGCGACCATCCGCTCGCACCCTCCACCCTGGATCATCTTGCGCGAGAGCAGCCATGGCCTTCCTCGTACCGCACTCTCCCGCGAGTGCATCAGCATCGGGGAAGCAGCAGAGGACGAGCCGATCTCCTCCTCGAGCTTGACGATGGGCACGGTTATGCCTCCCACCTTCTTCTTAGCCCCTTCGCCTCGTTTGGGAGGCTCGTGCTGCCTCGTGTCTACCTCCTCAGACTTACACACACGGGAGCTGGTGGGTTGGGAGCCTTTGGGATCGACGTTGGAGCTGTCCTTGACGTTTGCCTGTACCTTCTCCTGCTTCCACGCCGCTGACGGGTTGGCCCCCTTGAGCCTCTTGGAACTAGACTCACTGCAAGCCCGAGTCAACCGGGGGGAGATGTAAGTGTGAGCTTCGTCTTACCTCTTGTTGTCAAGCTCATCGTCAGATTCCTCAATGATTCTCCTCCTCCTTTGATTAATCCTCACGCTCTCTTCCACATGCTTCGCCTCTACCTCCCTGCTCTTCTCCTTCTGGACTATCTGATTCTTCTTGGTGTTGACCGCCTTAGGTAAGCTGCTACCCTTGGAACTTGCTGCAGTTGGTTCTTGAAGTGAAGCCCGAAGAGCTGCCTCGATCATCCTAGCTTCAGCCCTGCTACATGTCAACAAGAAGGAAATTTTTCTCCTCCTCTCCTCCTCCTTCCTCCTTTTTACCTGGACTTTGCGTCTCGCCCTGCATTCTCTGCAACCTTTTGAGCAGACTCACTTGCTTGGCCCGTTGCCTTCGCTCGACTCTCTTCACTCTCTTTCACCGGTTTCTTCTGAGCACTTGAAAGTTTTTCACGCACATTCTGACCGCACGAACAAGTCCACACCTGCTACCACTCGCCCCCTCTTCAGCATCCTCGCGACGAGCCGGCTTCTTCAATATCGAGGGTTTGGACTTGGAAGACTTCATAGCATACGGATACCTTGATGCGCGTATGAACAGATAGGAAGGGCAATCGAGGGAGCGAGACAGAAATTGGAGGCATTTGCGACCCGGGGGCGAGGGGATGAGGTGCAGCAGAAGGGAGGGAGGGAGGGAGGGAGGGAGGGAGGGAGGGAGGGAGGGAGGGAGGGAGGGAGGGAGGGAGGTGGGCCACATGAAGTCATGATAATGAAACAGGGTCGATCCAAAAGTCAGAGGCTCGCAAACGAGAGAACTTACTTGTTGATGCTCTTAGCCCTCTCAATGTGGTTTTGTAAATCGGTCCTCCAGTGCTCTGCGCACAAGGACCAGGCTCAAGTCAGAGAGAAGCATGCTGCATGAGTTTTCCCTACTCGAGTTCAGATGAGACAACTTCTCCTTGATCGGATCAAACACAAAGCGGCACATCATCTCGTCTTGCTTCACATGCTTGTCCGGATCTAAGAGCGCCAGCACGTTGAGGAGAACTTCGTCATGTTCTCATCTTCACTGACCTTCTGGCTCTTTGGAGGGCACCAGCACCCTCGTATGGCGCAGCATGCTCTCTAACGGGCACTCATCCATGTGGAAACTCCAGAAAATCTCCCGGTTGCGATCCAGCAGCTGCAGCCCTCGTGACTGCCCTACTACATTTACCCCTCCACCTACCTGACACTTGAGCCTCTTGGACTCTCTTACGAGCACCTTGGCGTCCACGTCGTCTTGTCTGTATAGCCACATGACCTTGACAGTCCCAGTGCCCTTGCACATGTGAGCCTTAGGCTCGCAGATGAAGGCGATGAATGGCAGCCCTTCTTCACAAGCTACAAGCACAAAGTCTCCGTACTTCACTCCGATGACCTCGTCGTCATCCTGGTCCTGATCTGAGCTCTTTTCGTCATCGTGCCTGGCTCTTACGCCCTGTCTCCGTTGCATCTCGATGCACTCCGTGAGCTTTTCACATGCAGATAGTCCTCGCCCTGAAGAATCGTTACAAGGAATCCACAACACATGATTACTTCTTGGTTCCTCACAGCTACATTCTAAACACCCCCTCTTTTTCTGAGTCCGATGCATGCAAAAACATAGTTTCTTTCCTGATCCGGCCTCGATCTCTGATTTCATCATGCTCCTGCATCGCACCCAAGTCTCTATATCCGATTTCATACATGCTCGACTTGCAATCTTCTTCTCCTCATCTATTGGCACGATACTCCTCTCACCCTGCTCCTCCTTCCACCCATGCTCCTCTCCCTGCTCCCTCTTCCACTGCCGCGCCTCTTGCCACTCCTCCTTTCCTTCTTAGCTCCTCCTGCTCCCTCCTACTGTCGCTGTTGCCATGCATGCCTTGTGCTGTATCCTGGATTCTTCCGTTACTTCTATCGTTGACATTGCAACGGAGCGATGGAAACCGTTATTTAAAAGAAGTTGTGGCCCCCCTCCTCCCCGCATCGCCGTGATATTTTGGGAGGCGCTTGGAATGGGCTTGACCAAGGCAGCAGCGGCGCTGATGGCATCGGGGAGGGGAGAGGAGAGAGGGAAGGACGTCACGAGCATGCTGTTTCAGAAGGTAGTTTGCATGCTCCAATCTCAAACACCCTGCCTTCTTGATGTGATTGCGTTGCTGAAATACCAACATCTGCTTCCTCTTGAAACCCATGTCCTTTGGTGCAACTCATGTGTTCGCCCCGCAAAGAAACCATGCTGCGGAGATGCTGAGGCGTTCTCATGAAGCAGGTCATGGCTGCCAATGACAGAATGCTGCCTCAACAATTCACCATGTTGGTCAAGGATTGCAGCTTGCACCCGCAGGAATGCTTTCAACAGCCGTTTTCGGTGATGTCTTCATGTTTCTCCTGTTTTGAGGTCTCTGATGTGATTGTTCAGCGTGGTATGCTATCGCCGCAGAGCCCACTGCGACATCCTGTTTTGATTTAACTTGTTCTCACCTTTGCGTGTTTTTCATTGAACATCTTTTTGTGCTTTCATGGCTCTGACTGGGGTCCATAAGAGTATTTGAATAAGTTCGTTTCTTCTGTACAAGAAAGAGTTGACTTATGATTTTGCATGAGTTTGCAGAACATGATGATATGGACCTGTTTGCAGCATTGGCGAGATCTGAAGGAATATCAACCTTGGTAAACCTTTGTCGTTAATTGCTTTAGAATTCAACCTCTTCTCATTTCACGAGAGCAAGATGATCTTGTGGGATGAATTTAGTGTTGTGATTTCTATCCATCACAGTATTCTAAGTTTTGCAGCAAAAAATGAAATACGAATATCTACTTGCTTCAATTCTTCTGTTCTTTGTGCGAGTCATGCGCTGAGTAGAAAATGATGGATTCATTCGAACGTTTGAGTTTCATTGCCGATGAATTTTTTCACAACACCACATAGTTGTATGACAACTATATGTAGTTTGAAACCTCAGTAGTATGACACCTTCGAACCATATCTAAAACTCAGATGGAAGAGCCCAGTCCTCTCGATGCATTGTGTGAGCGATGTCCCCTTTCCTGTCTGTAAATTCAAGAATCTTACTTGTTACACTACGAATGACTGTGATTCTTTCCATTCATCACTTTGTAACTGATTCAAATGTTTTCGTGTGATATGTAGGAAGACATCAGAATGGTTGCGCACGTTCATCTTGTATTTTCATGCTCAATCTCGTCAGTAGCCTACACTTGTTGATCCACTTGGTTGATCGGCACATTTTTCAGGGTGGGGTCACGCAAGTACCGGGTAAATATATACCAAAAACCTTGTAATTAAAGGGGTAGGTTTTTCACTTCAGTAGGTAGGGGTGTTGAAGTCAGTACGGTAGGTGGGGTGAAATTATGGCGACCATGGTCTACCTGGACTACAACGCTACGACCCCGTTGGACGAGAAGGTGCAGCAGGCGATGAAGCCGTACATAGAGGTGAGAGTGAGTGAGAGAGAGAGAGGAAGACATCAGAGATTGTTAGATATGGTCACCTGTCGCTCAGTGGGAAGAAGCTGAGGAGGGGAGAAGAAGGGAGAGGTGAGGAGTGAGGGAGAGGGGTTGGGGGCCAGGAAGGAGAGAGAACGAGGAAGTGCATAGTCAAGACAACATCGTTCTCATGCCTTTCTTTTACATGGAACAGGGGAGGTTCGGAAATCCCAGCTCATCGCACTGGTACGGAGTGAAGGAGAAGGAAGCTGTGGCCAAGGTCGTGAGCTCCCTGCCCTCCCTTCCTCTGCAGCTGCACTCATACTCGAGCAGGCGAGAGAGGAGGTCGCTGATCTCATCGGGTGCTCGAGTGAGGAGGTGTTCTTTACCTCAGGGGGAACGGAGTCGATCAACTGGGCGCTCAAAGGAACAGCCGAGAGGTTGAGGAAGACCAAGAGACACATCGTGACGAGCGCAGCCGAGCATGTCGCCGTGCTGGAGTGCTGCAAGTATCTCGAGGAGGTTCACGGCATGGAGATCACGCACGTGGGGGTCAACGAGTACGGAGAGGTTGACCCCGAGCAAGTGCGAGCTGCCATAAGGGAAGACACGGCCCTTGTTACGAGTATCCTTTCCTGTGTTGCTGGCGCCACTTAAATCCACCCCTTGCAGTCATGCTGGCGAACAATGAGACAGGAACCATCAACGACATCCGGAGCATTGCCCAGATCGCAAGGAGCAAAGGTGCCGGACTACTGGTGGGCGCCCCGGTCTTCCTGATTTTACTCGCAGGCGTCCTGGTACACACCGATGCCTCGCAAGCGATTGGCAAGGTTGAGCTTGCCGCTTTCAGGCAGGGCAATGAAAGTTATCTCTAGATCCCTGTTGACGTGAATGACCTCGGAGTCGACTTCTTGACCGTCGCTGGTGAACATGCAAAGCATGTTGTAGCGAACACGTTAACGGACTCCGGAACTTGGCCAGGTCACAAGCTCTATGCTCCTGCTGGGGTCGGAGCGTTGTACATCCGTCATGGAACCGAACTTCCCAAGTGAGAGCTCTCGTTCCCTTTCCTTACACAAGAATGACGCGATGCAGCTTCATGCATGGTGCAGGGCACGAGCGAGGACGAAGGGCCGGCACAGAAAACACCATGTATGAATGCTCTCTGTCTTGTTCCTTCTACTTGTCCCTTGTTGTTGTTCTCATCGATCTCCTGCTGAATCTTGACATTCATCACTATCAATTCTTTCCACTTCCCCAACTGTTCTTCGCAGGCACCTCGTGGCGTTGGGAGCGGCATGCAAGGTCTGCAAGGACAACCTTCTGAAAGACTCCGAACATCTCCGCAAGATGAGAGATCTGCTGCATGATTTACTGGCAAAGGCATGATGCTATTTTCAACCGCTCCATGATGCCGCTGGTCCGCTGACTCAGTGAGTGATCACCAGGCTATTCCGGGTATAGAGCTCAACGGGTATTGATCCGCAGGTTCGATGTGCTTCGTGAGTGCTTGTGCAGGCATCCTGAGCGTCGTCTCCCAAATACCCTCAACGTGCTCAACCTCCCCTTCTCGTGTGTTCGATCTCATGGTGACTTCTGCAGATTTCGTTTCCAATTTCGTCCCCAACCAACGACCAGGTATAACTCGCTAGATTTTCCTGACTGCGATTGTTCCCTTAAGGCGATCTTCAGATCATTGCTCAGACAGCCGATCGCCTAGCCTTCTCTGCAGGCAGTGCTTGTCACGCAGGGCAGACGGGGCATGTAAGAACGAGATCGGTTCAATCCCGGCTTCTGAGCACATTGGATCATCAGGTCAGCCATGTCCTCAAGGCTATGAACATCAGCAAGGACAAAGCTTTCAGGTGCTGCCATCTCCGCATCCGGAACCATCACTGACCTTGCTGCCTCCCTCGCAGAGCTGTGCGACTTAGTGTTGGGAGGCCGACTACGGATCAAGACATTGCGCTTGCAGGTGCCTCCACCCCTCCTTCCCCTTCACCCCCTGATTCTCCCATGTATGACCCCGTCCGTTTGTTCTACACCCCTACCCCCCTTTCTCCCATCAAAACATTGCGCCCCCCGCCTTCTTAATTTTGCATCAGCATCCCTGCTGGCGGGCGCTGGACGCTCATCCCACCGATAAAACCTCTTTTCATACTTTCTCTCCGTTCCTAAAACTTTTTATTTTGCATACATGATGGGTTGCATGAAATTATGTGATTAATTTTGAAATATTAGAACTAAACTTGAAATTTAATTCACAACCCCCCTGATACGATGCGTTTTTTATATCACCAATCCTATAACAATTTTTATCCAAAAAGTATTCCCGAATCTGGACCATCGCTTCTTCCCACCCCCACCTCCCATTTGACTGTATTTCATCCTAATATTTCCCTGTTGAATAACCATCGATTCTACCCCTACCCCTCCAAATGAATCCTCCCCCTGAAAGAGTGCGTTTGAGATTTTGGTCGTACAATCAAGCAGGGTAGCTGAGGAGAAGGAAACGGTGGTAGGGAGCAGGGAGCAGGACTGAGACAGAGAAGGATAGAATAGGAGAGAAGAGCTCAAGGAGGAGTTGTTAGTGAGGGGATCAAGTGGAGGGGAGGGGAGGGGACATAGAAGAAGCTAGGGGGACGGGAGGGGAGCAAAGGGAAGGAGGGGAGTGGGCAATGTTGAATGTTTGGGAGGGCAAGATATTCAGCAAGGAGACAAGAAACCAAGGAAACCCTCAGACTCTGAGGTAGAAGCAGGAGTCAGGCTAAGAAGAATGGGGGAAGGGTTAGGAGGGGGGGGGGAGGGGAGGGGGGGGTTCGCGAGGGGGAAGAAAATTGCTTCGCGCTGTTCTGTAATTTGAGGACCTTTGACGTACAAAACAAACTGATGTACCGTGTGACTTCATGCTCGCTGATTAGTTTATTGTGTTCAGATTTCAAGGCACAGTACAACAGGAAATGAAGAATTCAAGGATCTCCAGATCAAGCACAGAGGGCTAACGTGGAATACAGAGTTTGGTGAACATGGGAGACAACGGGATGTTTGTACCAGTTCAGCTTGTCGATCACAATGCATATGATCAGAGATCGGAGATTGGGATGCCAGAAAATTTGATGTGTGTTCCATCACACGTTTCATGCATGGGCACTGGCGTTGTGCCCGCAGATCAGATCAGTTCTACTCCTCCTCCTCCTCCCCTATTGCCCAGCACCCAAAGAATAGGAATGGCTCCTACTCTGCTACCTCCACCGCCCAGCGTCTACTCTCAAATGCTTGCAGAGTCATTTCACAAGCTGCAGGAGGAGGCCATTCGAGAGTCAGCCATGAAGGCGAACTCAAGGCCACAACAACAGCAGCTACCACCTCAGCCTCACGTCCACTACGTGATGCCAAGGAAGAAGCAAGGAGGGCAGATGCCTTCCAGCAAGGAGATTGTGGCTCTCAGTTATGCTAAGATCTGCAGCTTGTTCCATCTCCGTCAGATTGAAGCTGCCAGGGAGCTTGTAAGTGATAATCTCCTCCTCCCATCTCTTTCCCTTCCACCCTGTGCCTACGTTCTTACATTTCCCTTTCCTCCTTCTCCTCTTCTTCGCCCTTTATTTTCCTTCCGCTTCTTGCATGTTGCTCCTCCCCCCCCCCACTTCCCTCTTTTCCTTCCTTCCTTCCTTTCCACAACCTCTGCGTTGGTGTGGGCTGTTTCTGATGTCGATTGGCAGGGAATATCTCTCTCGGCGTTGAAGACAGCGTGCAGGGCCCTGGGAATCTTCAAGTGGCCGAACAATCGGAACTCAGACGCTGCGAATGAAAGCAAGGCGAAGCAGGACAAGAACGAGAAGACAAGAGAAAATAAGAAGCCAAGGACGCGGCAAGACAGGGGAGGGTCCGGCCCTCCCAGCCCTCCCAGCCCTCCCAGCTTGCTGGAGGCTATCGAGATCCCCGAGGTATGGGAGGCGTCGAGCTCGTCTTCGCTGCCATCAGCGGCTGAGCCCGCCTCGATGGAGCAACCCGTGGAGGAGCAGGAGGACTTGTTGAGACTGGAAGACTTGAAGTCGTTGGAGAGCGAAGTAGGAGCAAGGAGGTTCAGCCTGAGGGACAACGGGAGCAGCACGTGCTTGGAGCAGGACGGCAGCCCATCGCAGTCGTTCGACCTAGCTAGTTGTTCAGGCAGCGGAGACTTGGACAAGCGGTCGCGGGAGGGCAGCATGCCGATATTGAACTCTTTCTCGGGGGAAGAGGAGATAGAAAATCTCTCGGGAGATACAAAGTGGATGGACTGGTTTGTGAATCATCCCTTGTACAGGAGCCCTTGAATGGTAGGAAATACGACATGAAAGAAATAGACGACGAAGGAGACGGAGAAGAAAGATATTTTTCAGTGGCAGAATGACTCTCATCGACAAGGGGGGAATCTGTAGAGTTACCTATATTTGTTTGACGAGAGATCGACATGTAAATAAAGTTTCCTAGATTTTATCTTGATCCATTTTAATTAATTCTCCTCTGATGATACTCGATACAGAACGGGAGCGGTCAGCTTGTATTGGCTTCAAGTCCGTCTTCAAACCACAGTTGGCTCTCAGTACTGAAATTCAGGTCAACCGATCAAAACGCAAGTGAAAGTTTCACCATTTCTCTGTCGTTGAAGCGAATTCCCCTCCTCCTCGCTCCGAGGATTCCTCCCTGCCCCACAGTCGGCATGGCGTATCCTCCTCCCTTCCCCTCCCTCACCTCGTTCACAACGCCATGAAAGACAATGTTTGTCCCTGTTGTACTGTCATTCCAGCGATCATGACAAACAAAGTCGCTCACCAACGTTGTCCTCCATGTCTCGCATGGTGAGGCGTCGTTGAGCTGGATGGAAGACAACGTCATGGACAGACACATCTATCACTATCAACAGCAAGTACAGCTCGACAGGTCATTTCTCATCGCTCATCACATCATTCCATTCCGACATGGACCGGAACCTGGTTGGCTTTCTGCCTTGCTGCCTACACGTGTTCCCCTCGCATCCTGAGGCCTCCTGCTAGAAAGTAAGGAAGAAAGTCTCAGCAGCGACTCCTCTTCCACCTGGACTTCTGCGCCACTCGCGATCCCTCCTGCTTCACTTGTTGTGCACGACGGTGGGTGACCCACATAGAGCTGGGGACCTGACGTTCCAACGTCAACAGCTCCTGCTCCTCCCCCTCCCTGTTCCTCACCCCTCCTCCCAACCCGCTCGCCACGTTGATCGTCTGGGGAGCATCCATGCTCTGCAAGCTCGTCACTCCTCTCACAGTCGAGGGTCGCACAGACCTGTGGTCTCTTGTCCGTGGCGTCCAACGACTTCTGAGCCGTCCGATGCCTCCGATGCGCCTCAGTGACGCGATGGCTCCTGTAGCCTGCGGAGATAAGCTTTCAGCAACCAGACTGGCTGGAAGCGGATAAGTATAGTAGAGGAGGAGGAGGGGGGGGCCGGGGGGGGGAGGGGCCTTTGGATGCAATTGATTGAAAGGAAGCATTACCCTTTGAAGGACCAGCTGCTGCAGTAGAAGCCTCTCCTCCTCGACGAGCGTTGAAGTCATGGAACGTGGCATCGGTTCCGATCATCCTGCGGTCGTTCGACTGCTCCCTGGCCGAGGGCGCAGTCGGTTGGCCCACCGCCCCCCTTGCGTTGAAGTCATGGAAAGTGACGTCGGTGCCAGCAACGAGCTCCCCGGCGTCGATGTCGACGATGTGCTTCCCTGGGACGAAGGAAGGAGGAGAGGTGACGTGCTGTGTGCTGGATGGCTGTGGCTGAGCTTGAGGCGCCCTGTCGTTAGCATCTCCCCTAACAGCAAGACCCCTTCGATGCCGGGAAACGAGCGCATTCTTCTGCTGCAGGACTTTTGCGGCTTCAACAGCATCGGAGAACCTGCATGCAAGGTCACCAAAGACCTAGACCATCCCTGAAAGATCCAAGAGGAGGGTTGAACCCTCCACCATCCTCACTCTTATCTACATGTTCTCCACTTGCTCCATTCCTCACCTTGACGCGAGAGCCGTCCGCTTCTGCGCGTCCCCCTTGGATGAGAGCACGCTCGGCATCATGCTCCGGCTCATATTCACCATCTTCGCCATCATCACCGCCGCGATCACAAGCACCATCACCGTCAGCCCTGACGCCATGGCTCTACTGCCCCTTCGCACCATTGCGACTCGAGCAGGTTATGAGCATTTGGTGTGTGGGGGGATGAGGCTACAACACTTCTCAGGAGTCTCATCAGACAGGAGCCCTGCTGAGTCACCGTCAGGGCCGGCGCACGGCGGCCGGGACTCCGAATAGGCCCGGAGCCCGAACCGTACAGTGACACTGCCAGGGCACTGAGTGCTCAGCGCGGCTGTCACGGGGTGACCAGAGTCTGGCCCGCCGTAGGCTGATAGCCTAGTAAAACTAAACATGACTGGCTTTCAAAGTTTACACTGATTAACAATGACCGATACTATGACAAGTGGATCCGTACTGAGACCGAGAGGTGAACTAACTGAGAGGCTTCTGCCATCGCTGCGAGGCCTCCCATCCTGTGTCGACGTTGCACTGGCCGAGAGAGCACTCGTTCAGGACCGCAGGGTCCAGCACGCTTCTCTGCTCGCATTCGTTCACCCCCACCTCACACTCCTTGAAGACTGGAGTGGGGGTCGGCACCTCGAGGAAGGAGCTGTAAAGGTCCTGCAGGCCGCGCGGGGGGAGCTGCTCCTGGAGCTGCGGCACGATGTCCTCCTCTGTGAAGGGCGTGTTCCTGTGCCCGGGCTGGTAGTCGTAGGGTGTGTAGGCCTGCATGCACAAGGAAGTGAGGAAGATGAAGAGGAGGAGGAGGAGGAGGAGGATGGCAGTTTTTCAAAGCGGAAGGCAGATCGCCGTAGGAAGAGCATGCAGGTGGTTAACGAGAGCAGGACGAGCAGGGGCAGGAGGAAGAAAAGCAGGAGCAGCCGGGAGATCAGCGGCAAGCAGGTTCATCTCACCCCACGGAGGGGGTCAGGCTGTGAAGCGATCAGGTCGTCCTCGTTGCGGTTCAGTGAGTCTCCGAAGGGCCCGGCCAAGTCCAAGTTGCCGAAGTGACCGGGCCACGTGCTTCCATCCTCCAGCAGCCACCCCGACTGCTCGCACACTAGGATCTCTCCCTCCAACGTCTGTGGGGAGCGGCTGACCGTGCGGCCCTTGCGACAGCCACCATGGTTCCATCGCACGCTCCTGTTGCAGCATGGCTGGTGGCGAGCCAGGGAGGCGAGTGAGGAGGAGGAAGCAAGGTACAGCACCGATCACCTGCACGATGGTTGAAGAGGAGAGGAGGAGGGGACTTGGCCCGGAGGAAAGGTCGAAGTCTGAGAGGAGATCCCATGCTTCAAGCTGCGATCAGTGTCAGTTGCTGCATCGACGACGATGCTTCGCCTGTCGCTTCCTCACCCTCGGAGTGTCGGGAGGTGCCCGGGCCACGACGAACCATCGGGCAACTTGTCCTCCGGTCTCGTTCCTCACCGTCTCTGTCCTGATCGTCTTCACCGGCTCAACCGCCAGCCCTCCTCCTATGATTCCATCCGCACCATCCTCAAAGTTCGCCACCACTTGGCCGTCCCTAACGCAGGCCGTTCCCACTAGGTGTGAGACGTCGACGCCATGCTCGTACACTCGAGCCCCGCACCACAGCACAGCTTCCTCCTGCTCTTCCATGTCAAAACCCCTCCCCGATGAGAGCCTCCTCCTCCTCCCTTCTTCCTCCCTCTCTTTTTCCTTAAACCACCCCTCCAATATACCATGTTTTAACCCTTCCCATCCTGATTTAACAACAACATCAGGTTCACGAGCCTCATCTCAACTTCTTCCCCCCCCTTCCTTCCCACCTCCCTCCCCTCCTCCTGCTCTTCACAGTGGTCCTCACTTCAACTCTCGACTTAAGGTTGACCTCCACTTCCGCCACGCTCGTCGCGTAGCCAGCAGCAGGATCAGGCGGCGGGCTGAGCATGAACGTCCCGTTCCCTTCTCCTGAGTCCGGGATGCCAACAATGATCAGAGCGTGGCCGCTGCCTTGCTTGTCCTGTACGAAGGGCTCGAGGTCCGGCCCTCCGATCCTCTTCAGCGCCTGTGCCGACGTCAGAGAAGACGAGGAGGCTCGGCCCTGGGCTCTGCAGGAGAAGCAGCGGCAAGACGGGAGTCAGACCTGCAACAATGCGGGGTTGGTGTGGTTCTCCCATGCGAAGAAAGAGGAGACGATGGCGAGATGGCGAGCGTCGAAGAGGCTCAAGTCCCTTGCCATCCTGTTCGCCTCCCCCTCCCCAAAGTAGTAGGAGGAGACCTGTGGGTTTCGGGTGAGAACGCCGTCCGTGCTGCTGTTGAGTGAGCCGCAGGTTCCATCCTCGGCGATCCCAGTTGCAACGTTGATGGTTCCATCATTGCCCCCGAAGAGATAAAATCTCTGCCAGCTGCCATCAGGACTGCATCTCCGCTCCGCCCCCCTTCTCTCCTCTCCTCCTCTCCCCTCCCCTCTCCTCTCCTTTCCTCTCCTCTCCTCTTTCATTTTCATGCCTCCGCTTTCCTCCTCGCCCCTCCTCTCCTCTCCTTTGCTGTCATCCTCTGCTCTTCTCTCCTTCGCTCCTCTCCTTTCCTCATCTGCACTGTCCTTCCTTTCTCTCCACTCCTCTCCTTCCAACAACTCCCACTCCCTCTCTTCCTCCAACGCTACCTCGGAAGAGTACTGGCTGGCTGGATACTCGAACTTCATCACTTCGTAGCTGTAGTCCCACACGACCGTCAAGTCTGTTCGATTGAGCACTAGAAGGTGCAGGCCACTCTCCCTGTTATTGGCAAGCATCTAGAGGATAAATCAGTCTACTCTCCTCCTTCCTCCCTTCATGGCCCGCTCTTTTTTCCAGTCCCTTCCTCCTGTGCCCCCCCCCCCTCCGATCCCATCCTCCCCCACTCCACTTCCCATGTTTTCCGCAAACACGTTCTACTTCCTTCCACCCTCTTCCAACCTCCTCTCCCAAATCAAACCTCTCCCTCCCTCCTCACTCCTCCCTCCTCCCTCCTCCCTCCTCCCTCCTCCCTCCTCCCTCCTACCTTGTCCCCGAGGCGGATCACTCGATTCAACCTCGATTGGTTGCCTCCTGTCCCCAGCACGTACAGACGAATCTCGTCACATTCTTCTCCTCCCCACCTTGGCATCTCGAGCTTCAGGCAGGGCAGGCAAGGCAGGCAAGGCAGGCAGACCCGAAGAAACAAGAGCAGGTAGCGGTGCCGTTCTCAAGGAAACAGTCCCCATGGCCGGAGCAGACGGAAGACTGAGTTGTACCCGGGCATTTCTGCGAGCAATCGCTGGACGAGGTGTCAGAAAACGGGCAGAAATGTGGAAGGAAAGGAGGGGAGGAAAGGAGAAGGAGAAGAAGGAACTAGAGAATGAAGCAAGGAGAGGAGGAGAGCAGGAGAGCAGGGCAGAGGAGGAGGGGAGGAGATATACCTGCCGAGATATCCGAACTCACATGAGCAAGGAGCGACAGCAGTTTGGAACAAAACCATCTGAAGGAAGAAGGGCAAGTGAGATAATGAATTCTCTACCAAACACTTTTAGCCAAGTCAATTCAGCTGACCTCCTGCCCCCAAACCATCTACATTCGGTGTCGAACACAGCAGAGCCGACTAGACAGGTCCCATGGCCCGAGCACACAACAGTAGAAGTTGCGTTCGCAGTATGGTTCCCTTTCACACATTGAGCTAGAGCAACTTCAACTGCAGCTCCACACGTACCTGATGAAGCGTTGGACGTCCCTGAAAGCAAGACCAATCAGCATGTGGGAGCAAAGAGCAGAACTTAACAGATACCATTCCAGCTGTCGAGGAGCAGCAGCCCTTTACACTGAACCTCGCAGTTGACGCCTGTGTAAGGCAGGCGGCAGAGGCACTCGAGGTTCTCGTCGAGGGACCCGCGACCGTTGCAGATCTTGTTCCCATTAGAACTAGAGAAGACAGCATCGGACAAGGCCTGAGACTAAACTTCACATGGCGGTTGATATAGCAGACTGGCCGCTCGGCTTCACCTTGGGGTAGACCTGGCCGGCGAAGATGGCCGCTGTATTGAGTAGGAAGTTGTCGTCGTGGAGGGAGAGGAGGTTGAATCTGTTCTGCACTTGATACGAGTCACGCCATCTGTTCGGGTCTGCATTCTTGGAGTAGATCGCTGCTCCTGCTCTGCTGGCGAAATTGAAGAACATGGCGTCCCCCCTTGACCACAGCGACCCTCCCTGCCGTCCTCCCTCATTCCAACTTCACTCCCCTCAGCACCCTTACCTGCTCCAGCACGGCGACGCCTCCATACCTCTCAGCCGAGTTGTTCTGAAACGTGCAGTTGGCCGTGTCAATGATCGCCATGTTTCCAGCATAGATAACTGCTCCATCCAGCGCTGAGTTGTGAACAAACGCGGAGTCTACCACGGCCGGCGAGGACCTCCCTCCTGCATAGATCGCTCCCCCGTACGTTCCAGTGTTCGAGTAGAAGTCGCAGGATTCAAACTGAGGGGAGGAAACATCGTCGACGTAAATGCCTCCTCCCTTCTCCGCCAAGTTGCCGGAAAACTCGCAGTGGCTGCAAAGGACCGTCGACCGCATCTTGAACGACATGGCTCCTCCGTTCCTCGCTGAGTTGTTCAGAAAGCGAACTCCACGGAAAGTCATCTTGGACTCGAAGCCTATGCTCGCCGCTCCTCCGCTGAGCTTCGAGGAGCAAGAGGATAAGACCGAGTCAACCACGGTGATATTGTTCCTTCCTGTAGAGAACAAGCACCCCCCTTCGATCGCAGAAGCAGTAGCAAAGTTCTCGTCCTGTCCCCTGATGTCAAGATCCCTCAGAATCACTTCGTCTCCCTCTAGGAAGATGAATCTTGCTCCCACGATCCTCACAGCGCTGTTGATCGCGGCTTGCTCGTCCCCCGACCCGGAAAAATTATACTTGCATCCCATCAAACCACAGCTCCACCTGCTCCCGGCTGAGATCGAGCCCGAGCAGGAGCGAGGAGGGTTGGAGGGATCGCGCACACCAAGATCATAGCTCAGCACAGCATGGTATGCAGGGTCAGCCATGGCCGGGTCTGCGTGAGACGGAGGGAACCATTGGACAGTCGTCTCCTGGCCCACCTCCATGAAGTCGTTGTACTGCCGTTGGGACCATGTCTGCGGGAAGGAGCTGATGTTGCAGCGTGAGAGGGTGGGAACGAGTGGATCTGCTGTCATGACAGGCCAGCAGCTGCCATATCTTGTGACAGGAGGGGAGTCACCGCGTACAGTCAGCTTCCTGCCCCTGAACCTGATCTCCTTGTCGCTCACATGATGGCCATCCAGCAGCACGATGACGTCTAGATCCCAGGATGCGTCGATCGCTCCTTGGATGGTCTTGTAGGGAAGGTGGAGGGTGCCATCCCCCTTTACGTCGTCGCCGGTGATCGAGACATAGAGGTTGATGGCCAGAGCCGTCGCCGATTGCAACACAACCGCTATCAGCAGCCGTGCCTGAGCAGCACGCATGCCCTATATTGACTTGCCTTGCAAGTTCTTCGTACGGTTGAGATGGATGCTCGTCTGACAATCTTCCAAGGATTCCGCTGACAGATCAAGAAATGAACCCACTTCCTCCCTCATCCTCCCCATCGCACAATGTTGTCGATTCCCTTCCCCTCTCACCATCTCTTCATCTTCCCTCGATCTTCATCGTCTCACTCCATGCTTTCAACTCAGCGAATCGCTTTTGCTTCCCGTCCTCTGGCCTCAGTCATTCTCCTCTCCTCCTCCTCCTCTTACCCTCCTAGGGCAACGGCTCCAGGCCATTTTTCCTTATCTCGCCTAGCTGGTTGACCAGGCCTTGCACATCATTATTCCTGCAATTATAGACCGTTACAACCTCGTTATTTATTTGATGCGAGTGTGCCAGGTCAGCTGGCAGACCACATCGTCAGATCTGAAACATTCTAGCGGCCCCCGCCACACCCCCCACCCCTCTATTCAAGTATCAAAGTACCCGTACACCACAACTACTATGAATTCTTCCAAACAAAAACACCCCACCCCACAACAGGTGGTTTGCATGACCCCTACCCTAGATTCATTCTCAAAAATGGACGGAAATGCGGGGAAGGTATACCCACCCACCCCTGACTCGGTACCTCTACCTCATCCGTCACTATACCTTGAAGGGGTCCATCTGAGGCATAGTCGACTTAAGACCCGAAAACTAATCTCTGCGGGGGTATCCAATGTTTGCAAATTGAAATAGTTTTTAAGTAAGAAATAATATCTTCATCAAGTTTCAAATTTTGACATTCAATATTTGATGGATCCAAATCACTAGCTTTATGGAGAGTTGCGGCGGAAATTCTCTGTTCTTGTAGGTGTGCACCATGGCAGAATGGTGGGTAGGACAGTGCAGATGAGCGGCTGACGGAGAGAGCGAAGAAGGCAACTGCAGTTTTGTGATATCAACATCTTTCTTTGATCGCCTCGGTGTTGGTTCTACACTACCCCTTCTCTTTGGACTTTCCTGCAGGCCATCCCACCTTCTGCCATCTCGCTCGCCGCCTGAGATTGTTGTGCGTTTTTCTTTCAGCACAGCTGGAAAAACAGGCTGTGAAGATGCTTTCGTTCTTGGGGAATGCGAAATATTTGTTCAACATGTTGTTTCTGCTCTTGGTGCTGGTCGAAGTGCAAGGTTTCGCCCCTGCCAGCGCGTGGAGTGGGCCGCTTGCAATCGGTGCAACCCAGCGCAAGCATATCACCTCAATCCAGAGCAACAGATGGTTGAGGCAAGCTAACACAAAGGGGAGTGGATTGACATCCTTGAAAGCGCTCGGAGGAGATGCTGCATCAAGGCTGAAGCAGACAATCAGGGATTATGGGTTCGCGGCGGTGCTTATCCACACAACGGTTTGGGTGACGTGTTTGGTGATGGGGTATGCGCTTTTGTCGAATGTTGATATCAAGACTGTCTTGTCCTTTCTTCCAGAGAGCATCAAGGTTTGATCCTGCGTGTGCTTCTTCTGCCATGATGCTGAACGATGCTTCAAGGATGACATAGATGAGTCAAGCGCCGCAGGTCTTGTACGGTTTCAGCTTTCCATCGCTGCGCTGGAGATCATTGGTCCAGCTCGTCTTGGATTCACTTTAGCTGTGACTCCAACGGTGTCAGGGGTGATGAGGAAGGTATGCGTCTTGCTCTCCTTGCTGTGCAGACATCGCATGATTCTCTTCCCCGATATTACTTGCATCAGTCCTGCTGCTACCTGTCAATTTTGCTGATTGCTGATGTGGACTTGCACAGTATCAAACAACACGAGATCTGGAGGCTTTGGTTGTTCGCTCAACGAGGAAGACAGCGAGGAGCTTGAAGGTAGTCCAATTTGTAACAACAGGAAATTTCACTGATTGGCGTTTGTACAATCAGTCTGTTCCACAGATGATTCAGTCGAACCTCCTTGGAAGGGTGAGTAAATCAGCCAGCAGGGTGTCAAGTCAGTAATCTTGAGCTCAACAGGAAGCGGTTGGGGGTATCAGCGCAATACAGAAAGTGGTAAGTGATGGCCTCGTCAGATACCTGTAACTCATATTTCATTCTCCTTTCTGTGTTTCTTGTCGATTCCCACCGCTTATTTGTCTGAACAACAGGTTGGAACCCTTCAGACAGCGGATAAGCAAGTACTGCCGCTAATCATCAAAGCAGTCACTAGAAAGATCTAACATTCTTCCGCAGAAGGACACTCCTGCTTTAGGAGAGGAAGAAAAGATGCATGTATGAAGGCGATCTCAACGCGGAAAGACGACATCGAGTCCGCACATGTTCCCATGTTTTTCCTGTATCATTTACAGGCGCAAATTTGAAGATCAGTTTTTGAATGAACTAGCGCCAAGTCCCAAATGCAATGTGAAGCATGGAGAATTTTGGATGGAGAGTTTCCTACATTCATTACATCCCCCATAATCTCCTCCCCAAGAGTTGGAATAATTTCTCGTTGTGCGGCGCATAGAAAGCCTTGAGCTGCTCCAGCACTTCTTGGTCAGCGCTGGAGGAAGACGATTGTGTAACGTTCCACTTCTTCTGCACGGTCTGCTCCAGGACAGAACGAGATTTCCTGATGTCCTCCTCACTCATCCCGATGTGCGACAGCATCTCCGACAGCTTTCCCACGGGGTCCTGGGAGAACTCTTCCAGGGTACAAACATAGAATCTCTCCTTTGGGAATATGTGCATCCATCGACGTAGCTGCTCGTGGTACACGCCCTTGCCGACATGATCGTTGAAGAGGTTGGGATCGTGGAGAGGAGGACAGTCGGGAAGGGTCTTGTCGATGTAGATCTCCTTCAACTTCTGAACCATCTCCTCCCTGCCCAGCGCCGGTTCGGCGTCCTCGAGGCAGACGACCTCTGCATCATGGTCCAGGCCACACTCAGAGACGATCTTGTGGCGCATGTTGGTGTGATATTGGATCCCGGCACTTATGGCTTCTGCGAGAGTCCTCGACTCCCTCTCCGTCTTCACCTTGAAGTAATAGCTCGACACCGCTCGCGCCACTGGCTCCCGCAGCATCACGAGAAACCTGATGTTGTGTTCGGAGCCGAAGAGGCGCTCAAGGTTGTAAGGAGTCATCGGATGGTAGATGTAGTGAGGAGTGTAGTGTGCCAGCATGCTGGCGCTCGCCCCTTGCCCTTCCTGTAGCCTCGATGAATATGCTATGCACTGTGCCCTCATTAGTTCAACCGGGGAGAACTCCACCTTCTGGTCGAAGATGTGAGTTTCCAGAGGATCGAAGTTCCCCTCGTCCGAGACGTCTTGGATCTCCTCTTGAGTTTCTATCATCCCCACCCGGCTAGCGAGGGAGACCTCGGGGACGGCAAGGAGGTATCGGATGACTGAGCTGGTGCCACATTTGCTGGATCCTAGCAACATGAAATCTGGGCGGAACTTTCTGTTTACGAGCTTGAGGAGCTCGTCCGACTCTTCTACAATCCTCTCCTTCCATCCCTTCACCGACTCTTTGCTGTCAGAGAAGAGCCAGTGCGGCATGTACGTCCTCAAACTTTGCACCGAAAATAGCCTCAACAACAGGTCCTCGGATTTCTCCTTCATCCCATCCGTTCCATCTCCATCCGCCTGCACTTCTCTCTTCAGGATGGCCAAGTTCTGCTTGTCTGCCTCGTCCCGCTCATGAACTTCCCGCCATCGCAGCTCCTCCATCCTTCTGAGCAGCGCTAGCCTCGATGCCATTGTCCCGATTCCTCCTTCTCCACCCCTACCCCTAAATCTCCCTAATCACTGATGCCTTCAAAGCACGTTGGGTCCTCTACCCCCAATCAATTGGATACCCCACGATCCCCAGTGAAAACGACCCCCATGGTTTCCAGTCAAAGACACATCAACTCATTACAGAGCGTCTGCATGCTACCGTAGCTCAAGAGAGGGCTCGAGGCTTGATGGCGGTATTGATTAGGAGGAGCAGGAGAAGGAGAAGGAGAAGGAGAAGGAGAAGGAGAAGGAGAAGGAGAAGGAGAAGGAGAAGGAGAAGGAGAAGGAGAAGGAGAAGGAGAAGGAGAAGGAGAAGGAGAAGGAGAAGGGAAGGAGAAGGAGAAGGAGAAGGAGAAGGAGAAGAAGGGAGAAGGAGCAGAAGGAGCAGAAGGAGCAGAAGGACTGATAGTGGTGCGATGAAGGGGAAGCTCCGTGTCAGCTGACAGCTTGTTCGGGTTTCTTTTTGAGCTTCTGAGCACTCACGCCGATGTTCTTGCAGCCGCTTTCCAGGAGGATTGTATTGTATTGACATGTTGGAACCTGGCTCCCGTCGAAGATTGAACAATCGCAGCAGCAGGTGAGAGAGCATTTTTTTCCATTGCCAGCATGTCGTTGTTTGCTGCACTGAACGAAGTCCTTGTAACTTGTGACCTCTTCCAGAGAATATCAGGCCGTCGGAAGATCGGACGAAGAAGATTATGAGAATGATAACATGAAATTGATCCACCGCGCGTCCCGTTGCGGTGAAGTCACCATAACAAAGAAGTTTTTCAATCGTGGCTTGACGATGGGCAGCTTTTACCATCATCGCGATCGGAATTTTGGCACTTATGTTTGTTGCCTTCTGTGTGATGAAGGGGGACAATGAGCTCGAGACGGTATACAAACAGTTTCCGAGATGGAAGGGATTGTAAAGTGTTGGATCAGGTGAAAGTTCCACTGCGACATGTTCATGGGCATGTGATGAGGTAAAGAGGATGTTTTTTTCAGTGTGCAATCACGCTGACTTGTCCTGTTCACGATCTTTCTAACCTCAAGGCATCTTGGATATGCTACAGGTAATGATTGGAAGTGATAGTGAGCCCTAAACTTTATTTGACACTTTTCAAAGTTACAGTCCCCACCAACAGCACTGCCAAGGCTGTGAACGCGACTTAAGTCTAGCAAGTCTTGACAAGTATGTAGAGTACAGGCCATCGCTTAGCTGTCGTTGAACTGATCGTCTTTCAGCAAGAATTGTATATAACTGCGGCGTGAAGTCAATGAAATCGTTGTTAGTTCGATAGCAAAGAAAGGAAGATAATGTTTGACCTCTCCCAGTCGAGTTCGAAATTTCCCCCGAGCGAAGGCGGCAACCTGGAGCTGCTCTCCTATCATTGCGGAACATGAGATCACCGGACATACCTGTCGATGTCAGCGTGCAGTTGCTGGAAAGTCTTGTCAACCAGGACGACACGCTCTCGGATCTTGGAACTGAGGATCGATTTAGCCTATCAATTCGTCATGTTGCTGATGATGACGTGGAAGATTGACCATGGCTACGATTGTGGACAAGATGATTCCCATGTTGACGAGATAGATCTATTGAGAACACTGTCAGTGTTGCTAAGGCTTTTCGTTCCAAGGGAGTCGTGTGTAGTTTCTCAACAAAGCGTGCAAAAGGAACGAACAGACGAGAGCAAGCTGACAAGACAGGGCAGAACGAGGAGAGGTGCCCTCAGTCATGAGCACCTTCTTCAGTTTGCATGGGAACGCATCCTTCCACATTAGAATCCCGCGCTTGACATCGGCTATGCCGAACCTGATGACTCAGCGGCGTCAAGAGGCGAAATTAAAGCCAAAGGGTCAAGTCACACTTGGTTGTGATGGAGAGGTCGACCCCTTGCAAGTCTAGGACGCAGACGATTCTGAGAGAGACGGATAAGAGAATCGAGAGGGAAGCGCTGCTCGCTACCCATTCTTGACGATGTTTTCCTTCTCGATCGCCTTCTGCATCAGGAAGGACCTGCAAGGAGAGCATGAGAGAAGAGCATGAGAGAAGAGCATGAGAGAAGAGCATGAGAGAAGTGGTTGAGATGTGAGTGAAGCGGCAGTGAAGGAATTTACCCCATCTTCTGCAGACCCTCGACTGAGCATGCATGACCCCTGGAGCAGGGAAACTCAGCAAGAAGAAACGAAAAGAGCGATGAAGAAGAGGAAGGAAGAAGGAGAACGAGGTGTAGAGGAGACAGGAGCATACCTGAACAGAAACCTTGCATTGTAAACAAGAATTCCTCTTCCGCTCGCATCTGTCCCCGGCAACAACCAATGCACACCTCCTCACTTGTCATTCTCCCCTCAAGGGACCCAGGCGCAGGAGCACCTGACCGCAGCTCCTCCTCCTACATCGCATCCGTCATCCTCACATCGTCCGCAGGTCACTAGCATGCCGAAACTCACCACCTCCGACGCCTTAAGAACCATCGGCCATGCGTTTGAGTGACGGAAACTTGAGTTGAGGACGGGGTGAGAAGAGGAGCAGGAGCAGAGCGTGTGTGCCGTACCTCCAGAAGTTGGTCATGACCCTGATGGTGTCCTGCTTGCTGTAGTTCCACACTCGCAGAGCTGTCCTCACGAGCCAACGGGGAAGCTCGACCTTATCATCTGCCCCATCCTTCCTCCTCTCCCTGACCCTCTCTTCGATCTCCAACAGCACGGCATCGACAAGCTCCTCTTCCTCCTCGCTGTCTATCAGCGACTTACATCTCTCGATCTCCTTCAGGTCGTCGAAGGACCCGATTGCTTCCATCATCCTTCTAGCCTGCTCCTCGACCCCTGCCATTGTTTGATGTCGGCTCTGCTTCCCTAATATTCCCTTCCCCCCCTCGGGCGCCTTGCCCTGTTCCGACCTGTCTTGTCCTCTCTTACTCTGCTATCGTCTGCTCTGCTATCGTCTGCTCTGCTATCGTCTGCTCTGCTCTGCTCTGCTCTGCTCTGCTCTGCTCTGCTCTGCTCTGCCCTCCTCTCCCCTCCCTCTACTTTCTTGCTGCCCCACTTCCGGTCTTATCTATATAAAAACCCAGTTGTAGTGCAGAGCCCGAGGTAAAAGAGACGATATGGAGCAGTGTGGGTGAGGAGGAGAGGAGAGGAGGAGAGAGGAGAGAGGAGAGGAGGAGAGAGGAGGAGAGAGGAGGAGAGAGGAGGAGAGAGGAGAGAGGAAGGGGTGGGGAGGAGGAGGAGGTGGGGAGGGCGAGGAGGTGGGGA